GAGAATTTACGGTATAAAACCTGTGCATCATTATCTACCTCATGTTGATTCAGTCTTTTTTTACACAGTAAATACTAAGTGGCTGTTTGCAGCTGCAATTGGACGTTATCATCCCAATAAATGGTTATTAGCAGCTATCAGTCCCATAGAATGCTCTCAGATTTTGCCAGTTGCCTCATTAGGTTGTTATCGAAAAGAATTTCCTTTTCCCCCGCTAAATTAATGAACCTATTTATGTGTAATCTAAAAATAATAACAGAAGTTCTTCATGTACTGTAAATATTAAAAAAAAATAAAAATAGATGATCCTCATCTAGCTCATATTAAACAAAGCAAAAACAAGTAATCTCATGCGCTGTCAACTTGTAGAATCCTCTCCCTATTAATATTTGATTCTCTTTGAAATAGTGCTGATGATTCTTTAATAAGATCCTCGTCAAACAGACATGCAATGTTTGTTTTTAAAACTTAATGTGTGCAACGGGCCTAGTGAATGAAATATATATATATATATATATATATATATATATATATATATATATATATATATATATATATATATATATATTTGTTTTGTTTTTGTTTTTTTAATGCACAAAACTACGACAAGAATCTGACTAAATCAGGAAATAAAACAGTGTGATTGGCTGTAAGGAGAGACAGAGGACACTCCAAGTTAAACACTTATCACTCCGAGAAGAAAACCTGCCAGGTTAGCTCTGGGGAGAATCTTACTACGGTGCCTGAAACAGAAGTTGAGGAAACTCTCTTCGTGAAATGGAAAAGTCAGAGTTTCTCTGTTTTCAGGTGAGTTTTCGGTAAAACTGCTTCAAGAAACACCCTGTATGTTGGAGGAGCTCCAGAGCAGTAGGAAGATTGTCTCCCCCTAGTGGTTCATTGTCGGCCCTCTATGTATCAGTTTTGTTTATTTCTATTTATTTCTATTGTTCTATATGTTCAATCATATTCTATGGCAAAAAAACAAATAAATAAAATAAAAAAGGAATTCAATTGGGTCAAATGATCTGCTGATAAAGCTAGTTCTAATTTCAAAATGCCTCTTTTAAATAACAGGAACCTCGTACTCGTACTCGTCGTCTTCCGATTTATCCGGAACCGGGTCGCGGGGGCAGCAGACTAAGCAGAGACTCCCAGACTTCCCTCTCCGCAGACACCTCCTCCAGCTCTGCTGGGGGAAGCCCTAGGCGCTCCCAGGCCAGCCGAGAGACGTAGTCTCTCCAGCGTGTCCTGGGTCGTCCCCTGGGCCTCCTCCCAGTGGGACGTGCCTGGAACACCTCCCGACGTGCCTGGAACCGCCCCCCTCCTTTAACCACCACCTTAACGTGGTGGAGGGGTTTCAGCGCCTGGGTGATCCCAGAGGCTATGTTGTCGGGGGCTAAATGCCCCTGGTAGGGTCTCCCAAGGCAAACAGGCTCTGGGTGACAGGTCAGACGAAGAGGGGTTCAAAAACCCTTATGACGAGGACTACAGCGAGTTACGTGACGTCGCCCTGTACGGCGGAGCCGGGACCCCACCCGTGAGCCAGGCCTGGGGTTGGGATTCGTCGGCGAGCGCCTGATGGTCAGGCTCTTCCTCGCAGGACCCGGCCGGGCCCAGCCCGAAGGAGCGACGCGAGGCTATCCCCCAGTGGGCCCACCACCTGCAGGGGGAACCATGAGGGACCGGTGCATAGAGGATTGGGCGGCAGTCAGAGGCGGAGACCTCGGCGACCTGATCCGCGGGCGTTTAAACTGGCTCTGAGGAACACAGGAACCTGTTTCTTTTTTCTTTGAGATAACTCTAAAAGAAAACCAATGTCATCTGCTGCTATATCGCATTTGAAACTAATTAATATGATGTTTATGGTTACTTCATATAATCCTAATAAGATATTGATTTCTTACCGATGTAGTCTTTATTCTTCTTTAGAGCCTTCTCCACCTCCCCCTCAGAGTGCAGGTCCACATACACATAACCTAAAGCAGCCACATGAAGATGGTTTGAACATATTGACCTTTACTTTGTTTAAAGTCAGACTATGTAAATGCAAACATTAATGCTCTGATTAAAACACTTTTAGAAACACACCCGTTCTGTTTCCGCTTTCATTCCTGCCGATTCTGATAGCTGCAGGCTTCAGTGGAGTCATGAACTCTCGGATTTGTTGCTACCAGAGATTGAAAAGGAAAAATGAAGTTAGGAACGTAACCCTTTTCAAGCAGAAGGTCCTCAGTGACCAGGTGTAGCTCACCTCTTTTACATTAAATGGAACTCCTCTTAGCTTTACTGTGAACTCTGACGCCGGCTCCGTCTAAACAGGCACACGTTGGATTGAAACAAACAAAAAAAATGCCCAAATGGTTATATCTAAGGTGCAGCTTTACCGAAATATACCTCCTAGGGAAATATACCTCTTGTTTCTTGTTCCCTGACAAAGGTTTCAATTTTGAGATGTTTTCTCGTTCACCGCTCTCATAGGCACTGTCTCCATGTGGAACGGGACCATCATCCTCCTCTTCACTGGCTTCATTCTCTTCCTCACTATCCTCCATAGTTTGTGCCACCTTGGAGCGCAGGTAGTCCATGTCTGTGAGGCCAGACTTCAGGGCTTCTTTAGAGGCAGCTAAAAACACCAAAATGGTAAAAAATATATTTTAACTTTAAAAAGTTTCCACTGTGAAATAGTCACTTCTCCATTATCATACATTGGGTTTATTTGTTCTAAATTTTAGAAAGAGATTAAAAAGAGATGACGACCTTCATCTCCATCGTGCTCTTCCTCCTGTTCATCCTCTGAATCTTCTGAATCAAAGTTGAGGTAATCATCAGACGTTGGCTTCTTCTTCTTCTCTTTCTTTGAGCTCTTAGGCTTAGCTTGATCCTGAGCCATGTCGTTTGTCCAGGTCTGGGCCTGAGTGCGGTTCTGATGCACTGACAGAAACTCACTGAATCCATCTTCATCCTCCAACTGAAACAGGACAAAAAGGGCGAAATAAAAAATATTCTAACAGTAACAGAGAAAAACCACAAAGACAAATCCTTAACCTTTAGAATATCTAAGACACTTATAAAGTAATACTATCAATAATAATTATTATTAAATTAACCCAGGATCCAACTATGGAAATACATTTTTTTTTTATGAATACATCTTAATATTTAATCAAACAGTTTCACAGTAGGAAAGCTGTAAGCTCTTTACTCACATTTTCCAGTACGCTGTTGGTTTCCTTTAGTCTTGTCTTGTTCTGGATTTTTAATTTTTTAAGCACATACAGAAAAAAAACAATCAGTACAGTTTATTTCTATTTTTTCTAACAAATTAGGGATGTATAGACAGAGTCCAACCAGTGAATAGGAGGTTAGAAACAAAATATTTCCTGTTAACTAAATGCTTTACCACATGTTCTCCCTGAGCATGTGTGGGTTCTCTCCGGGTACTCTGGCTTCCTCCCACAGTCCACATAAAAACACGACCGTTAGGTTAATTGGCTTCTCTAAATTCTCCTTGGGTGTGTGTGTGTGCATGAATGGCTGTTTGTCCTGTTTGTCTCTGTGTTGCCCTGCGATGGACTGGCGACCTGTCCAGGGTGTACCCCGCCTCTCACCCATTGACGGCTGGAGATAGTCACCAGCACCCCTTGCGACCCCACTTGGGATTAAGCGTGTTAGAGGATGGATGGATGGAGTACAACTTTGCTACTTCTTTTATTTGCTATTGTTTCTAAAATAAAATGCATAATGATATTACAGCTGGCTGCTCAGTGGGTAGCACTGCTGCCTTGAAGCAAGAAGGTTCTGGGTTCGATTACCGACCTAAGGTCTTTCTGCATGGCGTTTGCATGTTCTCCCTAAGCATGTGTGGGTTCTCTCCGGGTACTCTGCTTCCTCCCACAGTCCAAAAACATGACTGTTAACTGGCTTCACTAACTTCTCGTTAGGTGTGAGAGTGTGTGTGTGTGAATGGTTGTTTGTCCCGTTTGTGTCTGTATTGTGATGGACTGACGACCTGTCCAGGGTGTACCCCGTCTCTCGCCCATTGACAGCTGGAGAGAGGCACCAACACCCCTCGCGACCCCACTTGGGATAAGCGTGTCAGATAATGGATGGATGGATGGATGGATATTACAGCTTCATTGATTTATTTCAAATTTGAAACATGTACCTGTGTATTGACAATAAAGTTGAATCTAATCTAATTGTCTAGCCTGTAAGGTAAACATTTTCTTTTACGAAATGATCAAATCGTAGTGTATTCTTAAGTATAGAAAATTATCGAATCGTTGGGTGAGGAAATTAATACTGAATCTAATCGTCCTGATGGGAGTGATTTACTCTCCTAATAATGATTTGCAGAGATGCACCAATAATGTGTGTTTAATAGTGCTTAGACATAAAGCCAAAGATGGCAACTCAGTAACCATGAAAGAGAAGCAAGAAACAGTGTTTGTCCATGCAAATACCTGAGCGCATCTCTAAACCACATGACAACAAACATAGTCAATTATTATAGCTTCTTATTTCTTCCCCTCTTACCGTCCTTTTCTCTTTAGGGGCAGCAGCTGATGTTTTGTCCGGTTCTGCTCTCTGGGAGTGTTTACTCCAGGCTTTTCCTTTAGTGGGATCTCCAAACGCTTTACACATCTCCACCTAAACGCAAGATAACATCATTAAGAGCATTTAGTAACAGATAAATTAACTATCTGTGTTTCTGGGTAGCTTAAAATACCCCACCGTCACTCTGGATGTGTCGACAAAGCTCTTGTTGAAATGTTTCAGCGCTTTACTCGCATCCTCCTCGGATTTGAAGCCAACAAAGCCAAACTTTCTGAATTTTCCATCTTTGGTGAACTTCAGAGAGCAGTCTGTCACTGTGCCGAAGTCTGCAAACATCGACCTGAACCTCTCCTCCTTCATCTAAATACAGAAAAACATCTTTAGGTGTTCATATACTACAGCAGATGTGTTTGGCTAAATATATATATGTTTTACTTACCCCATTAGGGAGGTTTTTAACAATGAGTCTTGACATGTTTATTTGGCTCTAAATTCAATTAAAAGTAGGTTCAATCGTTTTTATTAATGTCAACAAACCAGCATGGATACAGCACCTACGACGCCATATTGACATGAGGAGGAAAGTGTTTCATCTTCTTCATTTGCTACGTCGATGTGTTTTGGGGACAATTACCGCCACCCTGTGGTCATATGGGCGTATAGCAGTCCTGATTCTTCTCTACCCAGTAAATCAATTCAAATCCACTTGGAAATTATTCAGCAATTAAACCTGAAACTTTCGTTCTGCAAGGCAGCAGTGCTACCACTGTGCAGCCCATTGCTAATCCATCCAAAACTAAAAATATATGTTAAGAATGGTTTACAGGGATGTTGGAAATATAGTAAAACAGACATTTTTAGTTTAACTTTTGTACGGTATTATTGGACTTTTCCTGAGAAATATCACAAAAAACAAACGTACAGCTGGAGCAACAGCAGAAGGAGGTTCTATGTATAAATTTCAAATCCCAATAAAATATGTTAGTGTTTTTGGTTGTGATCAACTTTAGTAGGTTTTACCTCTCAAGCAAGACATGGTAAACATCGGTGGAAATATTCCCTTACTATATAAATAGATCTGGCCATTTATCTGAGAGCATTATATAAACCATAGCCTGTTAAAGGTCCATTCAGCTGCCTTAAACAGTGGGACTAAATTAAAATTAATAAAGTCGTATTTGTCTTAAACAGAAAACGCTGAGTAGCATATGACTGGATACCTCTGGCAAACACAGTTCTAGAAGAAAAGGGGTTTATCTGCTTTGTGTCTTTAGTTCATTTCTTGGCATATATTAGAAGTTACTTAAAGGTTATTTTTTTGGAACATTTCTTATAAACTTAACTACCTACAGTATATTCTTTCTGAGATTTTGTTGCTCAGCATTAGTAGCAAACTGATAACTCAATTTTCTCTGGTAAGTGAGGCCCATTAAATCAGTCAGGTGGTAGTCTGATCCTAACATGGTTAAAGAACTTTGCACAACTTTGTCAGACAATTTTTTTTATGTTAAACTCTGTTAATGAGTTAAAAAAAATAGCCAAATACATGTACAGAAAAATTATAACTGGGAAGTCAGTTGCTTTCCTGTTTATAATCCCTTAACCTCTAATTTTAACTAATCTTTAAAACAAGCATTATATTTGAATAAGAATTAGAGCTTTATTCTTTGGGATTGTGCATACAAACAAGAAATTAATCCACTTTTCTATCATTGAAGACCTTCTAAATACAAATATACAGTTTTATTAAATTCAGCTCTATCTATCAGTCTTAAATGGTTTATATATTTTGTGTTTCATTTTTTTTTCACCTTACTATTTAACTCAAAAAGCTTTAAATCTTAAATTCTCTGACCTTTAATACACCTCTTAATACTTGCCTAACTTTCTTCCTAAAGCAGGCGTGACCAACATATTGACTGAATGCTTTGTTTAACAGATCACATGCCCCACAGAGGGATTACAAAACGAAGCACCAAGCAGTCTCAGAGGAACACAGACCTCACATTGGTTACAAAAACTTTTATTAAATGTGCTTTATCTTTGGTTTAAAACATCAGTGCAGCACCCTTTGAAAAAATTGTGCAAGCCTCATTTTGGCAAAACAAAATCAACAGAACTCATTGCAGTTTCAGTTTTCAGCAGAGAAAAAAAAAAAACAATAAGTACACATCTTGAAAAAGCACCACATATAAGTTGTTTTGCAGTGATGTGTTCTGAATATGATAAATATTCAGAATTTGTCTGTTTTTAACAGATAAGTGTGTTTTTTTTGGGCTCCATTGTTGAACCAGAGGCGCATCAAAAAGAGGTTGATATAATTAAAGCATCTGCTTCTTCAGAGTTGGTCTCTTTATTCCTTCTGGACTGGAACTCTTTCTGGATTTCCACAAAACTTTTGTTTTTGGTTTCAGGGAGAACAAGAACGATGTATATTCCTACTGAGAGGCAGACAACGAAGAAAACCAGGAAGCAATAGTGCTGCAGCCCAATCTATAAAAGAAGCAAATGAATCATTTAAAACATTCAGTCTTTCATACTTTTACTTTAGGAAAAGTCAAAACATTCAGTCAAAACTCTCTTTTTTTTTTTTTTTTTAAAGAAACCCTTCAGAAACTATTATTTTAAATGTTAAAGACAAATGATACACAATATATTTTTCAGGTTTTTCATAATGTTAATAAAATGTAAATATGTCATTAAAGGATTGAAGCATCAATTTAAGCATTATTGATTAGCCCATGAAAGAATAGAGTTTAAGTTCTAGAATATATTCGAAACTCTTGTTAAAAAAATACTTAAACACTTAAATTTTGGAAATTGGATGGCTTTGTAGCTGCCAACCAAATGTTTTTCTTCCTGCACATATTTAAGCCACACCTAAATTTTAAATTACCTTAATAATGCGGAGAGAATCCTTTTGGTTTGTTAGTCAAGGTCAATGTTTAAGCCAGTACCCTAGCTAAGCACCATTATTTTGATAACTATTTTGTTTTATGAAAGTAATTATTTCTATCAGACTTGGTTGTGGACATTTTCTTACCTCATCAGTTTGTTGTTCATTAGATGGGTTTCCTTGTATAATCTAGTGGTTTATTTTACATTATTCACCATATTAAGGCATCAAGCACTGCCCTGACATATCATGCCTTTATCTTTTCCAAAGAATAGATGAGAAAAGGGGTATTTAATTAGTTAAGGGACATATGAATGGGTTAAAAGGTGACTGGTGCTGCATTGCAGTCTGGGCCCCTAATTACAAACCAGAATTAACTAATAACTGAAAGTTAAAAAACAAACACTGTTTTATTTTAACGTGGCTGGTCGAAAAGGTAAACTGGGGTTATAGGCTGCACCAGCACGCTCAGGATAAAAGCAAAATATTACAGAGTAAAAAAACTACCGGGATCTCCAACATAAAACCTGACACTTAAAAAATATAGAATTTGTAATAGTCGACTTGAGCAATAATTTGGTATTCTGAAAAAAACTTAAAACTTTGTCATTGGATTATTAACTAATTATTGATTAGGGCAGGCATCCCCAACCTCGGTCCTCGAGGCCTGCTGTCGTGCAGGTTTTAGAGGTTTCCCTGCTTTAGCACAGCTGATTATAATGATTGCAGTAGACCAAAAGCATGTTAATCAGCTTTCAATTAAAATCAGCTGTGCTGGAGCAAGGAAACCTCTAAAACCTGCAGGACAGCAGGCCTCAAGGACCGAGGTTGGGGATGCCTGGATTAGGGAATATGAGACCATTATTGTTAACAATAATGTCAAAATTATCAATATCTCTTAAATGTTGTTCACGAAAAGGACAGACAGTTTATTTTTAACAGTTTGAACATGCAACAGATATTGTGCAACCATTTCTAAAACAAGCAGAAGTATTTGTGACCACGCACCACAATAAAAGGGAAGAGCAGGCCAATAAAGAAGAAGCTGAGCCAGTTCACAGATCCTGCGATCATAAATGCTGCAGGCCGTGTGGTTTGCTTGAACATCTCTGTGGTTAAGATGTTTGTAACGCCACCTTTAGAGGAACAGAAATGCCAAATAAAAACTCATTCTTTACTCACCAAGACGGTTAAAAACGATTTCCTTTGATACTTAACCAGCTTACCTGGTCCCAAACCAAAACTTAAGACAAAAGCAAAAACACAGGCCACACTTAGGTAAGGGAAAACTGGACTGAAATCCTGAGGAAAGGAGAGATCATCATTATAAAAGTGAATCACCACAAGCCTGACACTGCAGTTTAAAACTGCTAGTCTGACTTTTCAATAAAACATAACAACACATTTCATTTATAGTCGATGTCAACTTTTTTGTTTGTTTTCTATGCAAACTACACTCCCAAAGGAAGCTTCCATATGTCTCTAATGACATTACAAAAGATGAAAAGTAACTGTTAAGTTATCTTACATTTAATCATTTGAGCTTTAAATTTTTTTTGCCCCCATCCAAATTAATTGTTGTCAAAATCTTCCTTTAATGGTGTTTACCTGTATTCTGCACAACTATGACTGAAGCTTCACCTAATTGTCAAAATGCTAAAAGAAATTCATAAAAAATCTAGAGCCTTTTTCTAAAAAGACCGATTTGAAACTACAGTAATATCAGAATTTAATGAGCAAATATTAATAATAATAATAACCTTAAACTTTCTGTTTAAGGTTTACCATCAGTGACTTTGGGAGTCAAATGGTGCCTAATTTATACAATATTGAACTAAAAGTAACCCAAACTTACAGTAGAGAATCTTGGCCATTCAATCATAAAATAAAATTAATAATAAAACATCCACTCAGAATCCAAGGCTATTGAGATCTGACTTTATTCTTCACATTCTGACTTTTAATCTCAGAATTAAAAATCTAATTACTTAAAGCCCAGGATTAACACTTTGATGAAGTAGAAATATTACAACTAGTCATACTTCTATCACACTAATTCTTAAATTAAAGTCAAAATTAGTCAAAATTCTGAGATTAAACTCAGAACAAAAACTTTTAGTTTTATTGAGTGGCCGCTTTTAAAAAAAAAGACCTAATTCTCTCCCTTAAATCAATCAATTAAAAGTCAATCATCCAAAATTGTACTTACAAATTTCATCTAAACAGGTCAGTGCTGTGTCTCCTGTTACCAAACTATATAAATATGTATTTTCCAATTTGCAATTCCTAAAATATTATAGTTGGTTAATTTCTGTTCCGAAAATTCACATTGTGTTACCAATATTAGTTCTTTGCTGTCTGTTCAAATCTGTTAGCTTTACATTTATAAAGTAAAACTGAACAGCTTCTTTGAATGTCTATCCTTAAGAGGAATTACCTGCAGAGCGAGTGTCACTGTGAACAAAATGCAGCAGATACTCATCAGTATGTATCCTCCTGATATGAGTATTTTCCTTCCCAGAGATTCCACCAGCATTCCCTACAAAACACACAGCATCACAAGACCTGAAACCACTTCTAAGACCCCAATTCTTCAAACACAGTATATCAAATCATCTGCTAAAAATTTTGCCAAATAATGAATTAAATGAATTAAATAATTTAATGAAGAATTCTCCTTAAATATATCAAAAACTCATACTTACACATGTTAATGCAGTGAGACATTCACAGGCACCTGTACCGACGGTAGCATAAGGTATATTATCATCTGAGATTCCGGCTTGTCGAAACAAATAATCAGCATAGAAGTACATCTGTGGTAGATATAGACAAGGCCAACAGTTTAAGACTTTGTTTTTATAAAGTCACTCAGGTGGTTACTATGAAGGAATTTCATACATACTGCATTAACACCATTCAGCTGTTGTGCTGCGTTGAGCACTATGATTGTGATGACCTGCCAGCGTACACTGCGATCTGCAAAAAGTTCCCAGGGTTTCTTGGCCTTGAAACCAACCAAATTGTTCTTCTCCCGCTGGATGTCCTCCAGCACACTATGAGAGCCTGAAAAGCCATGCAGCTGATTCAGAGCTGCAGACAGAAAAAGAGATCCTCTGTTCACGTTTTTGCTCACATGGTTTAAACAACTATAAGCTGCTTTTTTTTGTAATTTGCTTTAGAAACCAAAGGTCAGACCAGTTTCTTAACATCGTTCTGAATTGATAAGAAAGAGCTCACATGGGCTAACTGACAGCCTGTGGCAGTTTTTAGAAAGCTACTCAGCCTGCTAAGAAGAAAAATAATATGCATTAAGTCTTCTTGGCAGGCAAACTTAAAACCTCTGTAATAAGAATTAAAGAATCACCTTATGCATTAAAGTATTTTACCTTTTTTACATTTCTCTTCATCCTCTTTATCAATAAGCAGAAAGCGTGGACTCTCAGGGAACCAAGGAAGCAACTGTAGCTGAAGTAATGCTGGGATACATGTGGTGGAGAGCAGGAGGGGCCAGTACTGTGCTTTACCAAGCACTTCTCTGTATTAACATCCAAAAATGTTTCTATTTTTTCATATTAAGATTACATCAATTCATTTATTGATTAAGTAATTGATGTAAATAATTAATTACATTAATTAATTTATTAATAAAACAAATATTTTGCTTACTTGAGGCCCATCACTTGTCCAGATAAGATGCCACCGGTCAGAAAAATGGAGGAGCCTGTTCCCATGGCACCACGTAAAGATGTTGGAGCTATTTCCCCCAAGAACATAGGCTCAACACATAGAGCAATACCTGGAAAAATGAAAATGCATATTTTACAATCTTACATATGCATCCCAGTACACTACAACTGACAGATTAGTTTATACAGCTACTGATTCCAGGGTGAATTTGCACATAAGGTCCCATTTCAAAGGTTTATTTTCATATTTTTTCCACCATGATGGATCAAAGCACAGAAAAACCCAAGACTTACACTACCCTTCAAAAGTTTGGGGTCACATTGAAATGTCCTTATTTTTGAAGGAAAAGCACTGTACTTTTCAATGAAGATAACTTTAAACTAGTTTCAACTTTGAAGAAATGCACTCCATACATTGCTAATGTGGTAAATGACTATTCTAGCTGCAAATGTCTGGTTTTTGGTGCAATATCTACATAGGTGTATAGAGGCCTATTTTCAGCAACTATCACTCCAGTGTTCTAATGCTACAATGTGTTTGCTCATTGCCCCAGAAGGCTAATTGATGATTAGAAAACCCTTGTGCAATCATGTTCACACATCTGAAAACAGTTTAGCTCGTTACAGAAGCTACAAAACTGACCTTCTTTTGAGCAGATTGAGTTTCTGGAGCATCACATTTGTGGGGTCAATTAAACGCTCAAAATGGCCAGAAAAAGAGAACTTTCATCTGAAATTCGACAGTCTATTCTTGTTCTTAGAAATGAAGGCTATTCCATGCGAGAAATTGCTAAGAAATTGAAGATTTCATCTACAACTGTGTGTACTACTCCCTTCATGGACAGCACAAACTGGCTCTAACCAGAGTAGAAAAAGAAGTGGGAGGCCGTGTTGCACAACAGAGCAAGAAGATAACTACATTAGAGTCTCTAGTTTGAGAAACAGGCGCCTCACAGGTCCCCAACTGGCATGTTCATTAAATAGTACCCGCAAAACACACCAGTGTCAACATCTACAGTGAAGAGGCGACTGCGGGATTCTTGGCTTCAGGGCAGAGCGGCAAAGAAAAAGCCATATCTGAGACTGGCCAATAAAAGAAAAAGATTAAGATGGGCAAAAGAACACAGACATTAGACAGAGGGAGACTGGAAAAAAGTGTTGTGGATGGAAGAATCCAAGTTTGAGGTGTTTGGATCACAAAGAAGAACATTTGTGAGACGCTGCAAAAATGAAAAGATGCTGGAAGAATGCCTGACGCCATCTGTTAAGCATGGTGGAGGTAATGTGATGGTCTGGGGTTGCTTTGGTGCTGGAAAGGTGGGAGATTTGTACAGGGTAAAATGGATTCTGAATAAGGAAGGCTATAACTCTATTTTGCAACGCCATGCCATACCCAGCGGACAGCGCTTGATTGGAGCCAATTTCATCCTACAACAGGACAATGACCCTAAAAACACCTCCAAATTGTGCAAGAACTATTTAGAGCAGAAGCAGGCAGCTGGTACTCTATCGGTAATGGAGTGGCCAGCGCAGTCACCAGATCTGTACCCTATTTTGCTGTTGTTGGAGCAGCTTGACCGTATGGACACAAGAAGTGCCCATCCAACCAATCCAACTTGTGGGAGCTGCTTCTTGAAGCGTGGGGTGCAATTTCTCCAGATTACCTCAACAAATTAACAGCTAGAATGCCAAAGGTCTGCAATGCTGTAATTGCTGCAAATGGAGGATTCTTTGACGAAAGCAAAGTTTGATGTAAAAAAAATCTTATTTCAAATGCAAATCATTATTTCTACACTTATCAATGTCTTGACTCTATTCTCTATTCATTTCACAATGTATGGTGGTGAATAAGTGTGACTTTTCAGGAAAACACTAAATTGTTTGGGTGACCCCAAACTTTTGAACGGTGGTGTAGTTTTAAGAAACTCTACCGTAAAACATAGAAAGCTATTATTATATAGATACAGTATATAGGCATACTAGAAAAGTATGCCATGTACTGCATAATATAGTATATTCATGCAAAACTTTGACCTGTTTGAGATGAATTCCTGCAGCCTGAAGGGGATCAGAAGTGTTTAGGAAGCCCTGCTTGCTTTAACAGCCATTTTTAGGTAGTCTGCTTTGTTGTATCAGATGTCTCTCAACATTTTCTTTACAATACCCCCATAGGTTTTTTTTATAGAGCTTGTGTGAGCAGCTAAGTATAGGTAGAAAAGAAATCAGCATCTCCGTACAGCTTCTCAGCGTCAGAAACCACAAGGTGCTCCATAACAATCAGCAGTCAAGTTGTTTTTCTCTTCAGAGCCAATTAAATGGGTCTGACCTATTATGTGGTTCAGCAGTGGTTTAAAATAATTGCGAATTATTATACTACGTGTTCTGGATATGTCTTTATAGAGGCTCATAACGCACAGAGCTTTAATACACAGCATATGTTTTTCAAACTTTTTAATGAGTTTTACTTTAAAAACCTTTAAAGGATGAAGTAATGACTACTGCTTGTGGATTTTTTTTAACAATACTTTCTTCCTTCCACTAAACATTCCTTTGAGACCTCAGCTGCATTAGCATTGACACTTTGTAGCTTTAGCCTCTTTTTCAAGTGTTTCATTGACTTTGTGCCAGACTGTAAAGTCAGCAAAATAATGGTCTAAACAAACACAGTGAATATATTGAACAATGCATGGGTATTTTTAAAAAGCTAACCTTTGTGAACTACAAATCTCTTTTGTTGATTTTTCCTTAGATCCTATGTTGCTAAATGGGTCTGCAAGTATCCACATTTTTATTTAAAATAGAATTCAACTTTATTGTCATCACACTGTCACAAGTACAAAGCAACTGAATGTAGTTTACATCTATCCAGAAGTGCTATACAGGATATGAATATTTATTTACATGTGTACAGAAACTATGTATGGCCTATAAATGGTATATATAAACAGAAAGTAAATGTAAGAGGCTATAAAATAAATACATATGAAAGCTATATACAAATTATGCATGAAAGTTAGGATATATATATATATATATATATATTCATATATTAGTGGGGTTATAATACAGGATAAATAATCACAGATTATATACAGTTATATTTGAGAAATGTGTAATTTGCCTGTATGTCTCACATATATTGCAAAAATAAAAGTGCTAAAAAAGCCTTTTTCCCAAATATGAGATACGATGGACCTCTAGATGAATCTCAATTTTTGAATTTTCCCCAAAATACAGGAGTTAGGTATGTTCTATAGATGCTGTATCTACCTGCATTGATTCCAATGAGGAGACGTCCAATGATGAGCAACTCAAACGATCCTGCAGTGGAGCTCAGGCCCATCAGCATAGCAGCAACCAGTGAAAACACATTATTGGTAAGTAGCGTCCCTCTCCTGAAGGTAACAACACCACAGGAAAATGTTAATATTTTTTGTACTAAATACAAAACTTTTTTCTTTGAAAATAATTATACCTCCCAAGCTTTACAGACAAAGTCCCACCAATTGACACTCCTATAAATCCCCCTAAGGTAAAAATAGACACAATGGTGGACCAAAGCAGAGTGAGCCCATCTTTTGTTATCTCTGTTTGGTAACGCTGCCTCCAGGTTTGGTTAATGAAGTCTTGCACATACTAGAAATAAGAAAACAAATAGCATTAGCGATTAAGAACAGCTGGAAACTAAATCAGACAGAATGTCACATCTCTAAATCTTTTCCTATACTAAGACCAAACATCAGTTGAAAATAAATGACTGGGTTACATCTCTGTTGTCTTTATACACCTTTTAATTGATAAAAACAACTCAACAAAAAAAACAGTTTTGTATTTACATGGGTTACTTTTGTTTGTTGTGAGAAAATCTGCAAGGGGCATAGATTTCCCACAGCAATGCTTTTGGAGGACTGATTTATGGAAAATAGATATTTTCCCAAATAAAGCTGGTAAAAGTCAGACTTTGTTAGCATCAACATCAACCTCCTTTTAAGCAAGTTCACATCATTACATATCTTCTAGATAAAATGATTTCCTCATGAATAACATAACTTCAAGTTATTTATCTGAAAAGTTAAGTCCTATTCTTTATTCATATTCAACATAATGTTACTCTGGAGGGATCATTGCTGTACGGAAGAGGATTAGGGCCAGTGAAAAAAAAAAGAAAAAGTTAACTGATTTTTGCATTTTATTTCAGTTTAGTATGGGAAAAAAGTCAGAATTCTGAGAAAAAAGTCAGAATTCTGACTTTAATCTCAGAATTCTGACTTTTTTTATTTTCAGAATTCAGTCAGAATTCTGAGATTAAAGTCAGACTTCTAAGAAAAAAGTCAGAATTCTGAGACCCCATGTTAAACTGAAATAAAATTTTAAAATCAGTTAACTTTTTTTTTTTTTTCAGTGGCCCTAATCCTCTTCCGTATTGCTGTCTCCCAGGGAGTTATTCATTTATTTGCATAGTTAAATTGGCGGCAGGCTAAAATTGACTAAATTCAGATCATAGTAGTAGCAGTATAATGCAGTCTTACTGTATTAAACAATTTAGAGTACTACAAGTTTTGCAGGTGTTTAGAATCAATTAGACCGTAAGTATTTATGACATTAACAAAATATTTTATTCTAAGCTTGCTGAAAATGTGTCAAACATCTAAACATTAAATGTCTTATCACAGTTTTGCACAATCAACATTTTTTCTGATCTGTTAATATGCCTACCCCTACTCTGACGCAGGCTGTAAGCATTCAACTAAAGAACAACCACCTACAGATAGCAGAGATCAATAGGCCTGGAGTAGTCACACTGCAAATCGATCTTGAAATAAGTAAAAAAAAAATCTTGAATGAACTGTATTTAGCCTTAATTTGAGTAGGTAAATAAGATGTTTTGCGAATGAAATGAGTAGTTTTACTCTTAAAATAAGATAATTAGATAATATGCACTTAAAATAAGACAATGGAATTGTTTTTCCTTCTTATAAATGTAAATTATCTTGTTCCATTAGGTAAGTGTCTCACTTACCTCCTAAATTCAAGAACAGATGCAAATATTTTAAGAAAACATTTCTTATTTAGATTTCATTTTTTGCAGTGAATTCAGATCTATGGGGGAGTGACTGGGATCTGACCTTAGACTTTATTACCCTCTGCCCCAAAACCAATCAGTAGCATCTATATGTTATAGTCTCTTCTCTCCTTATCTAACAATTTCTGTAATTTATATAACACATAGTCTAATAGTAGATTGAGATAATGTATTTTCTTCACAGGGCCTCTCTTTATGATATGGTGTGTGCTCTGGGATATTGGGCTGAAATAAGAGATCTTTGTGCACCCCAACCTTTTGCTCCATTTTTTTTTAACGCAGTGGTTTTCCTCAAATCAACTAAAGTGAAAAGTTTGTATTTCAAAGGGAGAATCTTTTTTTTTTTTTCTGAAACCCACAACCCCCTCTGGCATAGTCCATGTGGCACCAGACAGGTCCGACATGTACTGGTTCAGTCATGCAACCATTTGGAGGTTAATCAATGATCTACAGCAATAAAACCAACTGAACAGAATGAATGGAGGGATTGTTGGAGCGAGTTTTCCAAGTCACATCTTTATTTGGGAATCAAGCATGCGCACATATGAGTTAGTAAAAAAAAAAGTGAAAAAATATATGTAATTACATAGTAACAACATAATTATCATAACCCTCTCTCCTGCTATTTAAAGGATATGTATAAGCTACAAAAAAAGATAAAATAAAATGAATAACACATTTAAGAAACGCCTGTATCCCTGCAATGGAGCAGTTCTTACCTTAGTGGGCGCATTGATGATGGAGATATTATATCCGCACTGAAATGTGCCTCCTATGCATGTTGCAAACATAGCCAGCAGCAGAAATTTGTTTGGGAACTGGAAACAGAAAAACTACAAAACGAAAAAAAAAGAGCGAGAGAAATAAAAACATAGCTTTTAATCAGGTAGAACATTTTCTAAAAAAAAAAATGCACAAAGCTTTCGCACAAGCCTTTATTTTAAAGTCATAAATATTCCGCATACCTTTAAAGTCTTTGGTTCTTTGCCTCCTTTCGTGAGCAGGGGCTCATATTCGTTCAAATAATCTTTTGGCATTTTTTTTTTTCTTTTCTCACTAAAAGTTCGCTCTTAGGATGTCCTCGATGCGCGCGCTGACTCTCTGCACTGACCTGAGAGGGAAGGAGATCAGGCTGCTGCTGCTGCTGCTGCTGCTGCTGATGATGATGATGATGATGATGATGATGATGATGATGATGATGATGATACAACTTATCTACTGTAATCGATTCCTGGGGCTAAAAAGACATCAGCCGCATTTTATGGTTAAATAGGGTTATAATTGTAAAGGAGAGATAATATCCATTTAACTCCGCATATCACTTTAAAAGGCAGGAATATTTATACAGGACTGTGATCCCCCAAAGCGGTTGTGAAACATCAAGTTAGATAATCTCAGAAAATCTAACTAAAATTTAAGCTTTATTTAAGTTCCATAATTTGGCCGCTGCTGTTTAGAAATGGTTCATAGAAAAATCTGAAATGTATGGGAGAGGATTAGGGCCACTGAAAAAAATGAAACAAAGTTAACAGATTTTAAAATTTTATTTCAGTGCTCACACATCTACATTAAGATCCAAAATTCTTAGATTAAAGTCAGAATTCTGAAGGAAAAGTCAGAATTTTGAGATTAAATTCAGAATTCTGAGGAAAAAAGTCAGAATTCTGAGAAAAGTCAGAATTCGGACTTTTTCCCCTATATTAAACTGAAATAATATTTAAAAATCAGTTAACTTTTTTGAATTTTTTTCATGGCCCAAATCCTCTTCCGTAAAAATTTACTTTTTAGGTAGGACATTAATTGATTTTATTATGATCAGGAAAAAATGCTCAATGTAATCCAAGATACAGAATTTAATATTCTTTGTTCGAAACCCTTTTGTTATCTAAGAGAAAAAAAAAAACAACAACAATGTTTATCTTTCCAGATCAAGAGAAAAAAATTGAGGGTCATACAAAAAAGCCCCTATGTTGACAAAAAAAAATTGAGGCACATGACATCACCCAGTACCGAACCCCATCTTGCAGCCAGGCGTGGGGTTGGGGTTTGTGAGCGAGCTCCTGGTGGTTAGGTTCACAAGGTCATCTCCCAGTGAACTTTCCACCTGCACGAGGAACCATGAGGGACTGCTGCTAAGAGGATTAGGCAGTCAGAGGTGCAGGCCTCTGCGTCCCAATCCACGGGTGCTTAGACTGGCTCAAGGGAAGAGGAATGTTACCTCTATGGGGATGAAGGAACCTGAGCTTCTACGGGAGGTGCAGCGATAATGGCTAGAAATAGTCAGGCTCTTCTTCACGCAAAGCGTGGGCTCTGGAACCCAACTCCCTGAGAGAGGCTCGACTCTGTTCTGCAAGTTTACCAGAAAATTATGAATTTAGCAAATAAGTAGAACTGTAAGTTATAGTTAATTAATAGGTCATTTAAAATCGGGGGTAAAATAATTTTATGATGTTTTTAGTCTTTTACATCAGCGGTCCCCAACCACCCGGCCGCGGACCAGTACCGGTCCATGGGTCATTTGGTACCGGGCCGCACAGAAAAAAGTAATATATATACATATATATATATATATATATATATATATATATATATATATATATATATATATATATATATATATATATATATATATAATTTATCGACTATCAGAGTCTGAGTGATGTTTTATTTTGAAAAATATAAAAAATTGCGGTATTTTCTCCCAATTACATCAGTCGGTGCATCTGTGCCTGTTGACACAGGTTAATTCAGTTCAAGACTTGTCAATCTTTTTGGGGAAAGCCTGGTCTGATTTGAAGAGACGGCATCCATCCCACTTTGGATGGCATAGCTCTTCTTTCTAGAAATATGGCCAAATTTAATAGTCCTCCAAAACCCTGACAGCCCGGGTGGCAAATCAGGAAGCAGAATCTTAGTTTAACAGACATCTAAAAGATCTCTCCTATCGTAGCTTCTTTTCATTGGCTTCCTGTTAAATTCAGAATAAATTTTAACATATAAAGCCTTAAATGGCCAAGCTCCATCTTTTATTAAAGCTATGATTGTTCCTTTTATTCCCAACAGAGCATGTCACTCTCAATCTGCTGGTTTGCTAGTGGTTCCTAGAATTTCTAAAAGTAGAATGGGAGGCAGATCGTTTAGTAATCCTCTCCTGCGGAACCCACTACCAGTTTTAGTCTGTGAGGCAGACACCCTGACTACTTTTAAGGGTAGGCTTAAAACTTTAGTTTTTGATCAAGCTGAAGGACATAGCAGGGACCCCTTTAAATCATTCTCTTCATTCTATTTCTGTTCTCCCATTCTGCAGTATTTGTCAGTTCATCTGGTCTGTTCCTGTTTGGCTGTGACACCATCCCGCAGAGAAATAGCAGCTGTGCTGCTGCCATCAACAACTTTGTATATAGGCATTGGAGCTTGGCCTGTTTTTGAGTGTTGTCCTGTTTCTGTGACTGTGACTGGCTGTATGTGCTCTCTTTCATCCTCTGACATGGGAGCTGGCTCAGAGCTCGTCTGCCTGTGTGTGTGTTCCCTGGGCGGGACGGCCAGTGGAGCTGGTTCACAGTTGCCTTTTGTATCTTTGCTTCTTTCTTTATCTCTGCTTCAATCTTCTTGAACCCCAGTCGGCCTCGACATATGGCCGCTCACACTGAGCCTGGTTCTGCTGGAGGTTTCTTACTGTTAAACCAAGTTTTTCTCTCCACTGTTGCTACTTGAATGCTTGGTGTGAAGGATTGCTGTCGAGTCAATGAGTTGATGCTTTTAGCTGGTTTTAGAAAAGTTTAAACTGATATTACTGCCTGATCTGATTAAATTGTCTCTGTAAAGTGCCTTGAAATTACATATCCTGTGAATTGGCACTATATGAATTAACTGAATTAAGTTGAAAAATTCAGTTAGGACATCACACCTGGGAGTATCACTGCTGCCACCCTCTGTTTGAGAGGTGAACTGCTTGCTCTGGAGGTTTCAATGAGAGCAACACATCACTAAGTTGAGGTGGCCATAGGGTTGGCAACTCATTGGCTAGGGGTTGCCATGGCTACCTATGGCACCCTTTTTGGTCTGCCCCTGAACACGAGGTTCTGGATGATCAAGTTTCATATATCAGGGTTAGGATTAGGGTTGACTGATGGGTCATGCATGCACTCATCTGAGAGCTGGTACTGCTGAAAAAGGTTTATAAACATGTGACTGAAACCTGTATAAAGTTATTCAAATATTAAAAAGTAAGTCAAAATTTCTGAGACCAATGTAGCATTGCTTTAAATGACTATTGTTGGCCAGTAGGTGGCAGTGTATAAAGTGAGACTTAAATTGAGTTCAGAAGGAATCAGTGTTTCCAAACAATCAAATAAAATGTTGTTTTTTTTAACCCTGAAAAGTTTAAAATGTTAAAAATATCTAGCCACTTAACGTTATGGGCAACGCTTTATTTTGTTTTAAACTTTAAAAAAAAAAAACACATAGCTGCACACATGTCAGTGTTCAACTATAAACACATTTATTTCTTTAAAGGTTAAGGGTGTTTAAATAAAGTTAGGAAAATCATTCATGTATCAAAATTATGAGTTTTATTTTAATGTGGATTAGTTACAATATTTAAATTCAAATTTTTAAAAGCAAGAAAAAGTATAGAGGACAAGATGGAATGGCTGTACATAATGGCAGCTCTGATTAAACTCATTTCTGAGTGGACAGTAAAAAGACGACTGATAGATTATATGCAGGAGATACAATTCATGGAATATTACCTCGATGATTTAAGCATCCCTGCTTGCTAAACCAATACCTGGACTAACTATAAAAATGTCCCTCTCCCATTTAAGCCCCCTACTTCCTTGAAAGGCTTGATGCTTTAAAGCTATTCCAGATCAACTAAAACTAATTACTGAGGTTTTTAAGGTGTACCCAAACTCTTGCCCAGTTACAGCTGGAGATGGATTAAGTACATCTATGCTAAACATCATCACCTCTGTAGTTTGTGACTTCAGTGGTCAGCGATGTGGTGCTTTTATTTTTCAGCTCAGATGATCTCTTTGACAAATTTCAGTCTTATGCAAGAAAAAAAAGCAGCCCTTCAAAATGTCATGAAATGCTTGAGGGATTTATGCATCTGCTGTAACTGGGAGTATACCCTGAGAGAGCATCAAATCAATCTTTTGTTTTTTCATTGCTCATCTATTTAATGGTCTTGGGTTTTTCCTCTTTTCCAGCAGCCTTAAGGGACAAGAAAGTTGCCGTCAAAGATTTCTTTTTTATTATTACTTAAAATATAAATTTACTATCATAATGTGTGAAATATCTAAAGGAGAAAAAACAACCCTAAATAATTATTGCTGAAGACCTTCGAGAGATAACAAGAAGGTTTGTCTTATTTTAAGGCAAACTAAAGAGAAGGAATATTTGTAGATAATTTTGACAGTACTACTCTTATTAAAAGGCTTTTTTTTGCATTCTTCCTTTATTTTGGATGTACAATCTCAGTGATACGGCACTTTAAACCATTATCTATTTAGTTTATTATTATTATTTTCAATTGTTATTTATATATTTTCAATTTCTATTATTATTTTTTTTCATAAACAGCCAAAGCAACAAAATATTTCTACTTATTTATAAATTACACTTCTGTTTTTATTAACACTTTTAAGCACCAGAGTTTGCGGTAATTGTTCTTGCCGATGCACTTTTTAGCCTTGCAAATATAAAACATTGGTTACGTTTCTGTCGTCCAGACCACATGCATTTCTGAGGGATTAGTAACAACCATGCAGCTGCAGTGGGAAGAAGGGTTATCTCTATTGAATGAACTTTATTTAAAACTTAAAATAGAGCACCATTTATAGAGGTAGTATAAGCCAACATTTCTAATGATATAACAAGGTCTTATTTCTCTCTATTTCTAGACATTTACTATGTAGTGCCATCTATTTAATAGTATCTCAGGTGTGGAAGTGAATAAAGATCATTAAGTAATGAAGGTTACAGTTAGTCTCAGGAGCATTAGCAGCATTAAATGGAAGTTGATAAGAGTATAGTCCCTGCTCCATCTGAACTGGAGAACTTATTCTTCTTAGATGACTGGAACTCATTCTGTATTTCCACAAAGGTTTTGTTCTTTGTTTCAGGGATAAAAAAGAAAATGTAGGTAGCCACAGAGGTGCAGACTCCCAAGAAGACCAGGAAGCAGTACTGCTGTAGCCCAATCTGTGAACGTAATAAAACAGATGTACGGTATCAGGTGAAAGTTAAATACACATGAAAAATATAGTCCTGTTAACTTTAAGCACTGACCACAATGAAGGGAAAAACCAAGCTAATGAAGAAGAAGCTGAGCCAGTTGACTGAACCTGCGATTATGAACGCAGCAGGCCGAGCGGTTTGTGTGAACAGCTCTGTGGTCAGGATGTTAGTTACACCACCTTTAAGCAGACAGAAACCACAAGGGAAATCAGCTGTGAAATGTAATGAGGTAAAATATTCCTGGTTTATTCACTTACCTGGCCCCAAGCCAAAACTCAAGATGAAAGCAAAAACACATGCCATGCTCAAGTATGGAAAAACTGGGCTGACATCCTGAAGGGAGAGCAAAAGTTAACTCAGGTGTAAACAAGAGGGTTAGATGTGTAATCATGAGGTGGATTACCTGGAAAGTAAGCGTGAGCGTGAAAAAAACAGAGCAGATACTCATCAGTATGTATCCCCCCATGATGAGGACCTTCCTTCCCAGACATTCAATGAGCATACCCTGTGAGTCACAAGACCATGAACAAACATGTAGGGGGAGGTTTAACAAGTAAATGATCTTGGATTTGTTCCACAACATTCTGAGCTATAATTTAATACAAAGCATTCTGTTCTGGAAATCAGAAAAACAGGAGTTTTGTTTTTTCTTCCGCTAATACAGGAAATACAGCATAGAACTGAGATGAATAACATTTTTAATCACTTCAAACTTATGTCAAGTTATATTACTTACATATATTATAATGTGATGTGAATCACAATACTTTATGTGTGAATATTTGCAGACCCATATATATATATATATATATATATATATATATATACACACACATTTGGCTGCTTAGTTTCTGAGTGGTGCAATGACCTTCCATTCATAAATAGAACTGTACTCATTCTGTTCTCTTAGTTAGCCTCAGTCTCATTATATATATAAATGTCACATAAAACTAAATGTTTAATTAGTAAGTTAAATATATCAGTAGCATATTTCATATTAGTTATTGAGTTTACTAAATAATTAGTTTGTAAACCACAAGCTACATGCTTAGAATTCAATATTAAAGAATTTCATTTGCAAAATAAAAGATCTTACTTACTAAATATTTAGTTTTTGAACTAAACATTGATTTAAAAAAAAACTCTAAACACCAAATGGTACATTAATCTCCTCCAAATGTATTGTAGTCATCTCCTTTGAAAGTAAAAGCAATTATCTCAGTCATTTTTCACGATTATAAGACAGATTTTAAACATTGATAACAATGAATGTATTGTTTTTTTTAATATATATATTTAATGTCCTATTAATGCTATTGGTGCATTTGCACAATTTGCAAGCCATGCTGGCTTAATCAAGCCCTGAATCAGAAAAAGACAATTTAGTGGAAGGAAATGCTATTATAAAACTTCAATTATTTTTCTTTAATGATATTTTGCTGATTTATTTATTTTTCATGTTCTTAGCTGCTGAGTTTTATTGTTCCAGTGTGAAAAGCATTCATACTGAAACATTTTCATGTCCAAACCCTAAACCTGAAAACATTTGATTGCAACTTTATCTAATCGATAAATATAATGTCACTTCTAAAAATACATCACATATCACGCATGCATTTGGGTGCATCAATTGTTGTGTTTCCTAGATTTATTGGGTGTAACAGGTTTATTAGAATTTCATACATGCTTATTATTTAAAAATATTTCCAAAACAGAAGAAAAATGATACCTTGTTTTGCTTGAGTGCAATTTTCAGTCATGGCAATCACAAAACAGGCTTAAACTGGAGGCAGCAATATTGTAGGCTTTTTTTTGTAAAGACGTTTTGACACATATTCAGGTGTCTGTTAGTTCCGTCTGTTCAACTCAGCAATAGTTGGAGTGCTGGTATTTTATCAGTATGGAGGTACATTCTCCAAGAATATTCCAAGTCAGATACAATTCAAATAGTCACTAGTCATCTGCCTGGGTTTTTGAAGGCTTATGTTGTGTATGAGTATGTATTTGGCCATTTCAATGATAAGTTCCATGACTGAATTGTTAATGCTCGGAATATGAACCCTCAATTCTTCCCTTTTTGTTCAGAGATACTGCAAAGATGGCTTCCCTCACCCCTCTTTCAAATGATCTGTCCTTTCCATCCAAAATGTGAACATTTTAGTCATCAAAGGTGCTTCCTTTGTTCTTTAGGTGAAGGTGCACAACTGAATCCTGCCCAGAGCTGCTGGCTCTCCTATGCTGCTCTTTGGTTTGGGTGTTCAGTCTTTGGGATGAACCCGTTTTTGTCTGACAGTGTTGTTGGGTTTGAAATTCACAGGTATGTTATATACAGAGAAAATCCTTCTGGGTTTCTAAGAAACTTCTGACACATATTTAATTTGATTGTTTCTCTACCTGGTTCAAAGTAAAAAAAAGTGTGTTGTGCAGTTTTACTAAGAACCCTTTACTCCAGGAGTAAGCGGAAACAGTATGTTTGTCTGGGACTTAATTTCTGTATAAATACAGGCATGTTAATTCAAAATATGAGTAGAAATGGATACTTACACATGTTAAAGCTGTAAGGCATTCGCAGGCACCTGTGCCAACAGTGGCATATGGTATTTTATCGATAGGAATACCAGATTGACGGAAAACGTAATCAGCATAGAAATAGATCTGAAACAGAAGAAAATAATCTGGACTTTTCGAATATTAAGTATACAATGCAAAAGTTATGTACAGTGGGATGAGGAGGTGTAATCATGGGGTACTTTATACATACAGCATTAATGCCATTTAACTGCTGAGCAGTGTTCAGCAGTATGATGGTGAGAAGCTGCCAGCGTAAACTACGGTCACCGAAGAGCTCCCAAGGCTTTTTGGCTTGGAAACCCACCAAATTGTTCCTCTCTTTTTCGATATCCTCCAAAGCACCATCAGAGTCAGCCAAACCATGCAGCTGCCTCAAGGCTGAACACAGGAAACCACATGACACAGTGATTGAAATCCTCTGTGGATGCCATTCTTCTCATCTGATCAGGAGGCAGGGGTGTGACTTCTAAAGTCCAATCAAAAAGTTCTCTACAATAAACCGCTTTCCTTCACATAGCTGCAGTGTCATCCAAACTAGGTCACATGCAAAAACCAAGAGATAGTGCTTGTTGCATCTAAAATTATAGATTAGAAGACATTTGTACTTGGATTCTCTGGGTTCTTGGAATTTGGCATGTGTAAGAGAGGAAGCCTTTGTACATTTATTTTTATTCTATGCTTTGGATCCCAGTTGTTCCAGTAACAGTTAAAGCGCCTTTACAGCCTTTTCAAGGAAAAAAAGAACAGAAATGGTGATTCAGAAAAGAAATCGAGGAAAACTGTTTAGATTCGGTACCTTTTTTACACCCATCCTCATCTCCTTTATCAATAAGCAAGAAACGGGGACTCTCTGGGAACCAGGGCAGAATCAGGAGTTGCATAAACGCAGGGATGCAGGTGGTGGAGAGCAGGATGGGCCAGTACTCTTCTTTCCCCAGGATTTCTCTGCACAATTACACACAGATGCAACATTTTGCTTTTATAAAAACATAACAAACTGTATGTTCATTCAAGGTCAATGTTATGCAATGATTCTAGTGTTTAAGATTTACTTGAGGCCCATAACTTGTCCTGTTAAGATTCCACCAGTAATGAAGACTGAAGTTCCCATCCCTGTGGCCCCACGTAATGCAGTTGGAGCTATTTCCCCCAAGTAAAGAGGTTGAACACACAGGGCAATGCCTGAAAACAACAATCCAGGATTAATATTCATGTTTTGTACTTTTTGTATTCTGGCAGCACTACTCTTTATCAGAAAAAAAATTAAACTGATATGGATATTTTAAGTCATTGGAGCCTTCTAAATCTAAGGAGAAAAACTGTGGTTTATGAAATTATTTAATATCTAAACATGTCTCTTTGTTAAACCACTTCATTAAATTTTATTGGGATTTTATTTGAAAAATTAACATAAAGGAGCCCTAAACTGTTAACATGCAGCAATAGGATGGCAAATGTTTTGCAAAAATAAATATATCTAAAAAATCTTTATACGCAGCATTGCTTTATTCAACTAGATGTATACTTCAGTATTAATACAACAAACCATGGTTCGTTAGAGAACAATGGACAACAAGGAGCAGCAGATACAATGACTTAAAGATATGGAAAGGGGTTTCAAACCAACAACACATCAGTTACAGGACAAATTGCTACAATCTGAAAATACAATACGTTTTGCAGAAATCTAAGCCTTATAAACATGATCATCCAACTAAAGGACTGACCATGGCGAGCCTTAACCAGAAGGGGAGCAAAGAGCCCATGGAAACTCTAGAGGAGCTGCAGAGTTAGCATCCATAGCTCAGGAGGAGGAATGTGTTGAAAAGACAACAGTCAGTTGAGCATTCCAGGAATCTGGTGTCTAATCTTTGTATAGGGAAAAATAACATCTCACATCACACTGGAAATGGCAGTATCAAGACTCTTTATTGTCGTTATGGAGTTTTAACAGTCTGAAATTTTGCACATAAATCAAACACAGACAAAAACAAAAAGACGCACATGTATAAGGAAGGTCAGTCAGGAGGAAAAGTGGGTAATTTATAGCAGCTGGAAAAGATTCCTTAACAGAATTATGAAAATATATAGACAGGGATGTGGTGTGATATATTTATAAAAAGTGCCGCTTGAGCTGAAACAGCCTAAGAATAAACACTGGGCATGCAATGCACTATTCTGCGTTTAAAGGGAGATTGCTTTCACAGTTCTTCGAAATAATCATGCAGTGGATTTGGTTCTATGCATTGGGGACAGCACATATTTTCTGATCTTGTGCTGTTTTGTAAAGGAGAGGGAAAATTGATTCTATGCAAAGCTAATTGGTTAAGCAACTTAACACTCTGATTCTTAAAAACATTGACTTGGGGGGGCAAATAGACATGGGCACCAGACGTTACAGACCTAATACGGAAAAATAACTAATAAACATAAAATTCCCAACACATGATATCTTAGATTATAGATGTAATGGGAAAAAAGAGAAGAAAGTTAAAGGTGGTGGTGATGGTGGATAATTTTTTCATGCATTTACCTGCATTGATTCCACTCAGGAGACGTCCAATGATGAGCAGCTCAAATGAGCCTGCAGTAGAGCTTATACCCATCAGCAGAGCAGCCATGAGTGAAAAGGCATTATTAGTGAGCAATGTTCCTCTCCTGAAGGAAAACACATGATCAGTCTTTCAAACTACAAAAGATAAGACTAATTACCAACAGATTATATTTTCATACCTCCCCAGCTTCACAGACAAAGTGCCGCCTAGTGATGCCCCTATAAGTCCTCCCAAGGTGAACATGGACACAATGGTGGACCAGAGCAGCGTGAGTCCTTCCTGTGAGATGTTGGTTTGGTAGCGCTCCATCCAGGTGCGGTTAATGAAGCTTTGTACGTACTTTAAAAGTAATGAGAGCAGAAAATATACAGTTAAACATTTAATTAAACAAGTAAAAGTGATGAACTTGTAAAGCATGGGTTCACAAATTAAATGTGAACAGAAAAAGCTGCAATGTTCCAGTTTGAACGTTTGATCTCCTGTTATCAGCATCAGAAATACTTATCTTAAAAGATAAAACCTTTCTTGTTTTAAAGGATTGTGGTATTACAGAGTGAACGCATTTGGTGGTAAAAATTTTTAAGAATTTTTTTTTTTAAGTCTTAAGACTTAACTTTCCTTACTGACAAAACTGCTTTTTTAAAGAAGTAACATATTTCTGCCAGTAATCCCATGCTGCCTGGTTCTTACCATTGTAGGTGCGTTAATGACAGATATGTTATATCCATACTGAAATGTTCCTCCAACACAAGCAGCAAACACGGCCAGTAGCAGGGATATGTTTGGAAGCTGCAACGATTCAAACAAAGACCTCAGTGAAGCATTCCTTTAAATCAAAGAAATCAAGCTCACCCTCCATCCACTCATCATTCTTCTTTCCACAACAAACCAAAATGTACAGTTTTCATACCTTTAAGTGCTTTTTGTCTTTAGTACCCTTTTTTAGCAGAGGCTCATACTCATCCATATATTCCTTAGGCATTTTTTCTTTCTATCTCAAAGTCCCTCAAAACTGCCGTCCATAGAGTATCCTTCCTTCAAGAGCCAGCTCTCAGAAATCAGAAGATGTTTGACTGGGGGATAGGTCTAAACTGAGACAAGCACAACTGATCTGTTGTTTGAAAATGTGTGGAGAATCGACTGCATAATGTGGGTACTTTCAGTTTATCAGATTTCATGGTTCTTCTAACTGTTTCCAAGGGAAGAAGTCCAGCTCAGGGAGGGGAAATTACATTTAGAGCAGGTCTGTAGCGTGATAAAGCTGTATGTACATTTGCAAATCAATTCAGTCTTTTTTGACCAATCTTTTAATATAAAAGTTAATTGGATCAAATGTTTTAGAGACCCTCTGAGGCACAACCCCAATTTGCTGCAGCTTGTGATGCAGTGTCTTCCCATGGGCCATGGGTTGACATAAGCACAGATTTATCAATTCACCAGTTATACACAATCTGAAGAAAACCTCCAGTGTTTATAAGCTATGGTCATTTACTTATAATTTAAAGCAAATGTAATTGTGATAATCTGCAGTTCATATTTGTAATGGGCAGCTTTTAGAGCAGCTCCAGTAATAGTAAAGGTATAGGACTGCGTAATACAATAAATTATACCAAACTATCAATTTTGGTGTGCACAATAACTTTAACACAAGAGTGTTAGGATTGCATCGTCTGTTGGAATCATTCATTCACACTTTAAATTAGCACCAAGCAAAGATTATATATTGAGTCCCACACATTCATAAGTAGGACAACATTTAAAAAGATGTAATGCTGGTATTCTCAAATGGAATCAATTCAATAACATCTAATAAGTGATAATATTACTTATCAATAAAACAGAGGTTACGTGTGAGAGCTGCAATTCACATCATGTTATCTATCATTAGGAGAGTTTAAAGATATGTTCCAGTTTATTGACTAGGTAGAAATATACTTTTATAACCTCCATATGCTGACAATTGAGACAAATCATTTCACTGACAAATCTTTAAGATAGGTTTGTGAACCATATTTAATAGGATAACAGCTAAATTACAGAATTTGTTACGCGTCTGCTATCTTTATGAGTGTCAGCTGTTGTATTTAAAACAATTAGATAATTCAAGCATATCTTGTTGGTCTTTGTGACAGCCTGATTCTTATATATTAGAGGAGGAAATGCAGAATATAATACAAACTTACCGTATAAAAGAAACAGAGCAGAAAGTATGTTCACACTTAAGTCCACATGGCTGAGCAGTAAAAATAATGTGTTTTGGGTTTATTTTTTGGGCAAAAAGAAGAGTTATAGTTCGTGATCTGAAGTGAGTGGATGTGAGCTAAAAAGATGCTGCGTTGTCTCCCCCTATGTTTTAAATGGAAGAACATCTCTTATCTCTTGCTTTCTGCTCAATTCATAACCAAAACCTGCACATGTCTTTGCTAAAATGTTCTTTCCTGTTAATTTATTTAATTCATATGGATACAATGATACACTGTATATATATATATATATATATATATATATATATATATATATGTATGTACATATATTCTGAAATACATTCTCATAAATATAAAATTTTTTTTTTAAATTTTTTTTAGATATATAAAGATCCCTTTAATTGCTAGAAGTTGAAAGCACTCATTGGTGGATCTTATAAGGACTAAAAGATAAAATGCACAATAGATAAAACAAATAAATGATTAAAAATAATTTTTCTTACAAACTGTTTTATGCAGTAAAAATTGATTGGTTGAGTACTTGTACAATTGTTTAGTTTTTTCCAGATAAATTATGGTAACACTATAATATATTATTCCCTCTGAATTGTGCTTTTATTGCTATTACTTTTAATTAAAAAATACCAGAAACTGTTAATTTGAAATTTCCAATGTAAATGCAAATTAAAAACCTGGTAATTTTCAACTAAACCCTCACAGCAAATTTTAAAGTGGTAATAGACAGAATATATTACCAGTCAGAAGATGGTAATATATAAAAAAAAAAGCATACTGAAACAAATTCCTCAGCGTTTATCTGCAGGGATACCAAGATGCAACATTTTCAGTAACAAGCGGCAAATCAAATATTCAGAACAGTAAATCCAAACAGTGGGTCAAAATTAACACTTACCTTTTTCTTTGAGTTAACGGGCCCCTCACTTAAATTCATCTTGGGAAATGCTGTGAAATTGAGCCAAAACAAAGAATTCACTGCATGTCGAGCTTCATAGTCTGAGTAGCCTCTTTACATAATTTGTGCAAGTTGTAAGGTGCAGCACATGACCTTAGCTCTGAGGTAGAGGGGGCTGTTAAACTCCTTGAAGCACATTCCTTCGTGGTGCTGAAGCTGAACCCTTTTGGCAAATGGAAGAGCAGCTGACCTATATGCAGACATAATAACCAGCCTCTGTTCTAAACTTTGTTCCTTTTTAAGATCAGTGCATTCAGTCCCAAATATGGAGATATAATGATTGAGTTTTTGGTATTTTACATGTCTTCAGAATTATTTTCTTTTTTAAAGTTTTTGTATTCCTTTTTACTTTTTCTACAAAATAGAAATTGCACAGAAATCTGGAAGGAATTATCCATAATTGGCCGTTTCTCCAGTAAGATAAGAGATCTTCTTAATTTAAAAGAACAATAGCTTGAGCATGTGAATGGTAAACCCTTATCCATCTGGTTAGGTCATCTTTGCATTTTAGACTGCCATTTATTGATCTTATGCAGAGATTTCTTCAAAACACCCTGAAGGTTTGCATGAGGGCAGCAATGGGTGATAAAGTGATTCTCCAACAAACAATGGTGTTTTGTGGTAAGAAAGTCGATGAAGGCAATAAAATGATACAAAGACTATATTGTGAATAATAGAAAGACCCATGACACATTGCATGAGGGTAGCTGAAGGGAATAAGAGCTTCTTTTAGAAGAATAATAAGTGTGTCACCACTAAATAAAGAAAATTATGTTTTATGAAAAAAAGTTCTATATTAATTTCTCTTTTTTAGCACCAATTAAGCACATTTAGTAAGAAAAATGAATATGTTGAAGCATAATCTTAAGACATTGTTGTGCTTTTATAAATGTGTCAGACAGATTTAAGTAGCATACTGAAAAACAGCGAAATCGGGCTTTTAATAAAAGATGTAAATAATTAACTCTAAAACTTTTCTATATTATAGCACAACAGATGATAAATATCATTTTCACAAACTGATAAGTAATTTAATAGTTTGGTAAGCTGTTAGAAGGTTTTTTGGATCTTATTTTAAAAAGCCTACTTGAAATGTATATATATTTCAACAGTCACCCGTGCAAGCTGCAAAATCCACCTGCCAAGCAAAACCAGCAGGCAAACATTTGATTGACGCATTTGATTATTACATTTAATTCTAACCATAAATGGATGCAGTGGAGAGTACTGTCACCCAGGAGTATCTGTTTAAGTTTGCATTAAAAATAACATTAAGTTGTTGCTGTTATTACGTTGTTTGCAATACGTATTGTAAAACCACAGAAACCAAAAGCTGTTGCTATGGTGTTCTATTTATGGGGCTGATATCCTAAAAGAAAATTCACCCTTGTTTTTCTTCATTGAAGAGATATTTTATACACCAGACAGTAATTGTTGTCCAATTTTACAGTCAAAATGATCCTTACATTCTCCTCTGTAATTTGCAACAATGAGAAAGTGAAAGCAAAAAGATCTTTAAATTGAACTGGCAATTTTAGATCGACAAGTCTAGGGCAGCAAAATATGCAACGCGTCATAATGTTGGTTATTGACTTTTGATAAGTAATTGGTTTAGTGAACAGTGAGATCTAAAATGAAGCATTATCAATAATATTAACAAAAGTAACATTATTGATTGATTGATTTGTGACTCATGTTTTTGAAGTTACAGCATTTGACCACAGGAGGGCGCTTTACTTTTTTAACCCAGCACCTTGAGCTTGTGTGTGCAACCCTGAAACCTTTCCCCCTCCTCCTCTGGAAACTGCAAGGAGATCCACCCTCGGTGAGCGTTCTCGGTTTGATCATGTCGGGCAGAAAGCCCCGGTCTGTGGCGAACCCCCTGGAGTCTGCGATCACCACTCCGAGTGAGAGGATCCTGAAGGAATGCCACAGCCTGTATGTGGACAGCGAGAACGGTAAATGCTCCACAGCCAGCCCGGATTACAGCAGAATTAAAACACAAACAGGCAGACTGTGTGTTGTTGTTGCTCTCTGTTGTGCAGCAGTATGTTTCTGGGCTGATCTACGGTGTAAAAGTGAAAAGTGCTGCTGTAGAGTTCTGCAGCACCTGTTGTCAGAGTAGAAAAAAAAACATGACACTTGAACCATAGGAGCTGATCTGCAGCTCATCCAGGCAGCGCCACCCTCTGTTCACTGCCAGTCATTGCAAGCCATTGAGCTTAAAGTCTGTAAGTTCTACTTTACACATTAGAAAGTGTGTCTAATCCAGAAAACTGTCATCACATTGGGATTTTCTACCCGATGCCCCAGAGAGCAGCACTTTAATGTGCCATTTGTCTGTTTTTAGTTTTTTATTGATTTAGCACAACTTGGATGTCAGATCATTATGATCCAACCTTTGGATGCTATATAAGAAAAAAAAGGAAATGATGCAAAATTTGAGACACACCCATCAGTCCTCCTCACATGCTTATAATTGCATGGGTACTGGGAGCTGATGTCTATCTCCAGCAGTTAGTGGGTGGAAGACAAGATGCAGTTAATCACTTTTGACATGCTAATGTTAAACTGCAGGAGATGCCCAGCAGACATATGGTATACGTAGTGTGGCTGCTGAGACGAGCAGTGCCATGCTTCAGGGTGAACATCATTGGCTGACCTCAGGTCATCAGGAATGCTGGTATGCCTCAGGTCATCAGGAATGCTGGTTTGCAGGAGGGATGCACCAATAAGCTTTTTATCTTAATGTTTTAATTTTTTTATGTCATAAACTCCTCTCTACCAAATATATATAGTGAGAAAAAAAGAAGAAGAAAAAAATATATACCAGAGGCTCAGAGAAAAGCTGGAGAAGATCTGGAAGGTCAAGGCATCAGTGGTGCCCGTGGTCATTGGGGCACTCGGGGCAGTGACCCCCAAACTTGAGCAGTGGTTACAGCAGATCCCTTGAAATACATCAGCAAAGATTCTGTGCAGAACCCTCAAGCTCCTCCTCAAGAGGACCCGAGCTTGAAGAAAAAAAGGGAGACCACCCGCCGTGGGTGAGGAAGGTTTTTTTATTATAGAAATTTGTGTCAGCAAAGGAAGTCATAAAAACAGTTAAATGAGTAAACAGGACAAATTCTATTCTGAAAAAAAAAACATAATTAAAAAGGTCCATCCAGACTGAACACGGGTCTGCAGTGGTTTCCATGAGCACTGCTGGGAGTTCACCATTCTGCATTTCAGATGCAGGTTTTGCACCCTGGGCTGCATCATCAAGTTGAATGAGCTTCAGCTGCTTTAAGCTAACACCGCACCCATGTGAAAAAAAAACAACTCAGTAAATTAATTGAATAATTAGTGTTTCATATTAGATTATGTCTCTCACAGTGGATATGCACCTACGATGACAATTTCAGACCCTCCATGATTTCTAAGTGGGAGAACTTGCAAAATAGCATATTTTCCTAATTTTATCTGTCCCTATTGATGGGTTTCAATTACGCCAGAGTTTTCTAATGATAGTGGCTGTTGGTGAAACAAAACTTTTTTTTTTTTTCACCTTTTGCAGAGCTGCTATAAGTGTCTGAGTTGATCTGGAAGCATTTTGCTTCTGTGTATCCACAAAATCCATCTTGAATATAAAGCTTTAATTGTTTGCTAGGTTGGACCCATTTAACACGGACACGCTTGATGTCGCATCTGTCGAAAAACAGCTCGGGAACCTCTGGCCAGTAGTAAATTCAGGAACATAGTCTGCTTATCAAACAACGTTTTAGTCCTAAAGGGTCAAATAAGGCTATTTTAAAGAAAATTTTCAGTAAGTTTCAATCAAACAAATGTCAATCAATCCGGCTACATCGTTGCTGGTTTGTGCTGTAAAAAATGTATATTTTTTTGTTTTAAAGTTTTTAAAGTTTAAAAAGGTTAACCTTTCCCTTGATTCTTCAATATGTTGGTAATTTACTGTAGATTGTTTGGTGTCGAATAAGGTAGCATTTTCTACATTTTATGGCCACTTTTGTAAGAAAAAAAAACATGCACTTCATTTAAAGTAACATGGACCCCATCACAGAGACACACTCTTATCTAAAGTGCCTATAATTGAACATAGTTTAACCCTTAATGTGGTTCAAATAAAGTATTTCCATCTGTTCAGGTCTGGTGAAAATTGCCAGCAGCCTCGGTGTCCGGCTCCTGCCTCCAAGGAAGAAAATCATCGTGATGATCATGGGGAACCACTCAGCAGGGAAGAGCTCATTCATTAACTGGTAAAACATATCTTTTATATAAATATCATTCATTTAATATAAAATCTTCTGGTTATCAAACTCTGTTTAATGTGTGGAGACAGTTGAAAGGTATGTGAATATTACCTATGGGTAGCTCATATAAAGGTACCTAGTGTATTCATTCTAGATTATTATTATTATTTTATTTCTAACATAGTTTTGCTAAGATTTGATGCTAATAAGTTTACGATATGAATTTGTTCATTTTTACATATAAAATATCGCCAAGTCAGATCCACATCATTATAGACCTCTTGCTTGTTAATCATTGATTTTGTGTCTTTGTTATGAATGTTGGTACATGGAGAGATTTATACAACCAGATGCCCTAATATGATTATTTATTAAAGCTGTTTTAAACAAGTGATGCTTTTAAAGCTGTTCTCTCATCTGCACCAACAGGAGCACAGCTTCTAGAGCAGGATTCTTTATCACATCCTGGTGATAAAACGATCCCTGCAGTGATAAAGAACTGAGTCTAAAATTGCTTAAATAGATTCAGTGGAAAATAATCAGCTGTGAGCACAGCTCTAAGCAGCGTATTAACCTGCTTAACTAATGAAAGGAAAGGGGGATAAAGAGCCTGTCGGCGTTGTGCGCCGTGTGTTGGAACTATTTTTGTGTTTTATATTTCATGGATTTAATACTAAATGAATTTAGGATGATTAAATATGGAGCTGCTGTGCTGTCTGACATGAGCCTGCATGGTTCTGTCCACTGAGTCGAAGTCAAAATCAGAACATGGTTTTGGGAAGGATTGGGCAACATTAGAAAAACAAAACACCTAATTAGTGTTTTATGACGTTTAAGCTAAGGTTTGAAAATGATCTGCCCTAAGGAACAAATAAAATAATTTCTTATATTATTCATTTTTAATAATTCTGGGTATTTTATTGAGTTATTTATGTGTAATTACTGTGGGTGTGAATTGGCAAGATGCATGCGTCCCGATACTTGGTAATTATCATGACTGGAGAACCTCCAAGAACCCATTGCTGCTTTGCTGAGACTGGTGCAGAGCAGCTGATTTGAGCAGTGCACTGCCAAATTTGCAGCTGGAGGTTTAAAGTCCATGGTTGATTCACATTAGGGCTCGTCAAAAGGTCCCGCAGCGCATTTTGAGCAGCGTGTTATGAGCATTTAAGCATTTGAGCCATGTCACTTGCTTTACAAGCAGCCAACACCTGTTTGGGAAAGTCTGAACATTTGCAGAGCGATGCGCCACCACTACACATCAGACAGAGGCACCTCTATGTGATGTTGGAGTTAGAGATGTCCCGATCCAGGTTTTTGCACTTCCGATCCGATACCGATATTGTTTTTGGACTTCCGATCCGATACCGATACTGGCCGATACCAGCCTATCCGAGCATGTATTTAAGTTTAAGTTAAAGTATTTAGCCTTAGTTGTAAGACTCATGTTGAAAAGGGTTTTAGTACTCTTGATAACATCTAGCCAGCTAAATTAGGTGAGATTGAATAAAACACAATGCTTGGTAACAACAAACTTATCTGTTTATTAAGAGATAAACACAAACTGGACAAAATTATGAATAGCAATCTGAAATTGCACAGTGAGCAGTAAAACCGTAAACAGTTAAAGGTGCAAGTATTACTGTAAGTTTAAATAAAAATGCAAAACAGGGAAACACTGGCGCAAAATAGTGGAATGGATCGTTTCAATCGGCGAAACTGGAAAAATACAGACCGGATTTTTTTTTAAAAACTGGATCGGCAGTCTGGATCGGCATTTTACATGCTTTGCCGATACGCATTTTTTTGCCAATATCGGCGATCCGATACGTGGATCGGATCGGGACAAGCCTAGTTGGAGTCCTTGTATACATGCTGTGGGTCAGCAGGTGGTCAAACTAAACACCTTGGAAGTGTCCGCACACGGTGCTGAGCTGCCCGACCACGGTGTTCTTCAGCTTTATTTAAACCCAAGCCACTCTTTCAGTGTCATTCGCCATTGTAGATGATGAGGCAAATAGAAGAAGGTAGCTCCACCCAATCCGTGTCACACCTTTCAGGCGATCAATCTGCATCCGGTGTGAACGCATAAAAGAAAGACAATTAAATGATGTTTGCCTATAAATATTTTTTTAGATTTAAGATCTATTCAGCCATATTTTTTATCAATACCGATATCATCAAATGAAATATTGTCATATTTGGCTGAATAATTTTCCCCCACACCCCTAAAAATTACCAGGGCTGCAGAATATATCGGAACCAGTAATGTTGAATTTAAACTTATTAGTTTTGGGCCCGGGCTGCTCAGTGGCGCAGTGTGTAGCACTGCTGCCTTGCAGCAAGAAGGTTATGGTTTTGATTCCCGGCCCGGGGTCTTTCTGCATGGAGTTTGCATGTTCTCCCTGAGCATGCGTGGGTTCTCTCCGGGTACTCCAGCTTCCTCCCACAGTCCAAAAAATATGACTATTAGGTTAATTGGCTTCTCTAAATTGTCAGGTGTGAGTGTGTGCATGAATGTTTTTTTTGTCCTGTTTGTCTCTGTGTTGCCCTGTGATAGACTGGCGATGTACCCCGCCTCTCGCCCATAGACAGCTGGAGATAGGAACCAGCACCCCTCACGACCCAACTTGGGATTAAGCGTGTAAAGAAAATTCTTCTTCTATGTTGTTGCTGTTTTTGTTTTAGGAGGAACAGGTGGCGATCAGTCAGGTGATATTTATTTAGTCATGTCACAGAATTGTGGCTTTTTAACTATTGTCTGTTATGGCTAAATTAATATTGGATATCAACATAGAGCCCAGATATGCATATCGTTGCACCCCTAATAATACGGCTTCCCCTGAATTTCTACATCAACAAATTTTCTCTTTAAGGACACTCCCTGGAATTTTTGAACAGTTAGCTTTGTAGCATACCAGTAGAACAAGGTTTCCCTAGCCCTCTTTTCTTGAAGACCATAGGACGTCATGTCTGATAAAAGTCAAACCTAACCTTTCTGTGTGCATGAAACAGTTGAAAGCAATTAATATTTTTGTACTAAATGCTGTCTGGGTTCTATTACTGTAGGTACGTTGAAGAACACATCCAGAAAACCGGCGTTGCCATTGAAACTCAGGGCTTCACCTTCATCACAAGCGGTCGCAAGAGAGAGTCCCTGACGGTAAGATTGATACACATGGAGAACAGAAGCTCTTGGTTTTCAGGATTTATTGGAGTTGATGAATCCCTCGAAACATGATCAACTTTAAAGAATTTACTCTATGTCCTTTTTTTTTTAATGCTAAGTTCCTTATTATGCATTAGGATTCAGTGATGGCCTCTGTTGTAGCCCTGAGTCATCCTTGCAGCAGCTAAACAAGTCCTGGGGCTGCTTGCCTCCCTTGCTTTAATTCCCTTTGGTCCAAGTGATGAGTATGAATAAAATATTTACGGTGCAGGACTGCAGAGCGGCCCAAGACAGGATATTCAGCTGCAGCACGCAAGCTGCTGTAATCCCAAGATTCAAACTAAGACTCTGTTTTGGAGATTTTTCAAGGCTCTCTGTCTGACGTTGCATTTTTAACTCTTCACAGGGTAACGCTACTTTACATCTCTACCCTCACTTCCGACCTCTGCTTGAGTTCAAAGGTAAGTTTGACCTTTTTTTTATTGCAAACCCCTTATTGATCGTTTAATTTATTTAAAAGGTGTTTATTGCTGCTATGAAAAAAGAAAATTGCTTGTTGTGTTTCCTTCCATTTAATTGATCAATTATGTTTATAAGTTTTCTATTATGCATATTGGGTGTACGTCTGGATTTCATGCAGCTCCACGTGTTTTTATGTTAAACTGTGTCTGGGAATAGCACATTGATTAACTTTAAGTTTCTCATTAAGTGGTGAGGTTTTGCTTCAGCATTTTAGCCTGCTGTCTCATTTGCATGTTAAACAGAAGTTAATTAAAAATCTTTTTTTGTGGCTTATGCAATCCTAGATTTTTTTTGTGTGTTTTTGTTGATTGCATTTGCTTTTTTAATCATGCTGCAATGACAATTAAAGGAGGAGTGGAAAAATTATTTCCACTGACACAACAAGAAACATTGTTAATGGAAGGGATTTACTTTTTGATTTAATATAAAATTTTTGTGTCAGTAAGTAATTTTTTTCATACCAATAATAGATCCTTTACCCCTGCTGGAACCCTGAGAATCAGATAAAACTACAGCTCCTTTCTCTCTCCTTGGATATTGGCTGTTTTTTGTTTTTTTTTCTCCACTTTTGTCATTTTTGTCTTTGCACCTGATACTGCTACACATTAGCAATATGGAAGATGTGTTAAAAGACCAAAATAAATCAGCTGTTGATTATTATTGAAGTCACACAGATAATTTAAAGAGCAAAACCTTTCAATTAGTGTGCATGTATTCAGGGGAATAAACATGTTTTGTTGACAAATGATTTATTTTCAACAAAATCACAGCTTTCCTGCAGGATTTGGGTCTGAGTGCTGAGATGAACATGAAAGAAGTTTCAACCCATTGTCCTTCTGAAACATACAGCAGGGAGCCTTTTTCCATTTTCTGACCGATGTCACCAGATATTTCTTTAAAACCTCACAGATATCTTTGTCCCATTGAGTCTGCCTTTACATTGAAATAAGAGGTATGAGGTGTTTTACCACATAGTTATAAATAATTTCACCAATAGAGGGTTGCTTGTTGTTAGAAAGCTCTCAGTCTCATCTGACCAATTTAATGTAAAAACTATTATAAATAGTCAGGAACCTCTTGATCTTCCATTTTCTCTTAACTTTCTGCATGAATGTGGATTCAGGCTTGTTGAGCCCTGATGAGCTTAAAGTAAAGTGTTTTTTAGATAAAAAAAAACAACAAAAAAAAGTTTCTTTGAATTAATTTGATAGAGGCAATGAATAAATGTGTTTAAATTTGTGTGAAACTCTGCTGTTGGAGTAAAAGGATGTTTTAGTTATGAGAAACCAATACATGCTTCAGGTTCTGTCTTTTAAAATGTGAATATATTGTTTTTATTGAAAGAACAAAAATAGTTTCTTTGTCACAACTGCCCATAACAAAGTGGCAGAAAAATCAGATTTAACAGTTGTTTCATTTGACACACAATGGGTCATTCATTGGGTTTAAAAGCCTTTTATGCCTTATAATTGATGCATTAGATTCAAGTGGCTAAAAAAAAAAAAAGGAAAAACTCCTCTATTAAAAATGTGGGGAAAAGAGCATAAGTCTGAATAATAGACCATGTTTTGCACTTAAATCTATTTTTTGGGGGGGAAGTTAGGCTTTTGATGCCAAAATACAAGAACAAAGCGATGACTCCAGATTTTTATTTATTTTTTGCCAAACATTCTTAATTTGTCTTGTTGGGTTAGAAATCACAGCTGTTTCCCGTTCCCTGTTTGGATCTTATATATTTCATCATTTATATAGCAGTGAGGACGTGTGCATCAGTGGAGTCACTGGAGAGAAACTGGGTGTGCCTCCTGACTGAGCAGTGGTGCTGCTGCTGATAGGGGTGGGGGTGCAGCGTGTGTGTTTATAGAGAGTGTGCAGAACGAAAGGGTTCACTGGGTGCGGACTCATGGTATGGCGTATGAGTCACACGCCCTGTCGACAGCAGTGCAGCGTAGTCAGGAGGGGCGTCTGAGAAATGTCACAGTCATTAGAGACGTTGGAGCTCAGTGTTGGAGCAGCAACAGCTCTGCTCAGGCCACAGTCGCTCCACTGCTGCGGGAATACAAGCTGGATTTTTATTCTCTGAACTTCTTCGCTGCCGCTGGAAGCACATCAGGCTTTTATTTAGCTTTCCTAGGGACTGAGGATGACTCAGCAGAAGATCATCACATATCCTTATGTGGAAAGAGATGCTGATTGTTCTTTGGATTCATATTTAGTATTATTATAAATGTTTGAACCTGAAATGTTAATGTCTTTATGCTCTCAACCTGTTGTTTCGACTTTTATGCAGTGATCTACTCTGGAAATACCTCTTTATTAGGAACAGTGATTTCTTTTTTTCTCTGCTCATTACATTTTTAAACAGAATGCATTCAGTCTAGTTAAACTATAATCTAGTATTTTCTGATTTTCCCATTTTTCTCATGCTGTGAGTTGTTTGCACTTTTAATCAAAGAGAACAGATCACATTACTGATCACTACTTTATTTTTGAATCAAACTGCTATCAATCCCCTTTTAAGGCTTTTTTCCTTTCTGGTTTCAAGCAGACCATGCAAACATTTGTATTCCAGACTGACTTTAATGCATCAGCATTTTAACCCATGTGGATTTCATTTATAATCATGCATATAAATAATTTTCTATTGCACAGATTAGACCTCTAATGTTTGAGTTCCGAGTCTGTTGTGTTGATATTGTGTTAATACAGGAATGCGAATGTGACAGCAGTAGCAGTAGGGGTCCTGCTGGCTGCAACACAAGGGTGGGAGTTGTGCCGGGTGTTGACACCTGCCTCTTTGGATAAAACAGCTCCAGTGTCATCGTAGGCCTGCGCTCCATTTCTCTTGGAATGTTGAGGAAAAAAAGAAAAAAAAAGCGGGGGTGACGGATTGGTGGGCTCATCAGCATGGATGCAACTTCGCACAGAAATTTGCATTCACTTGTCATCATTAGGAAAATCTAAAGTTTATATCAAGTCTTTAACAATGTATTTTAATGTGTTTTTCAGCCATTCTTTAAAAAGAGGCTGTAATATTTACACCCCCCCTCTGATGTTGGTTAATTTTGTTCTTAGAGATTAAAGAGAATTCACACATATCTTATTGTCATTGGCATGTTTTTGAAATATTCAGTCTGGAAATTAGACAGGTTTTGTTTTTAAATCAGAGATGGTGAAGCTTTTTTAAATATAGTGTTTTTCCTGACACTTTGCTGTGCAAGTTTTAACCATTTAACCTGGTCGAAACTAAATTTGTCAAAGACGGATCTATTTTCCTAGTATCAGCCATTTATTTTTATTTTCTTATTTAGATTTTTTTTATTTAATTCATTGTGTTTAAACATAAAAACAGAGATTCCAAAATCTTTAATGAAAAGGCAATACATTTACAGAGAAAAATTGCTAAAACATAATCAACAAAAGATAAAGCATATATTTATAACAAAATCAAAAGATAATGAAATAAAATATGTCCTCCAAAACTAAAAAATATGTTGTACTTCAGGTTTATTTTCTGTATATTCCTAAGATATTACATTAAACATGAATATTTGCAATGAATTGTAACTTTCATATTAACTGACCATATCAGCATCTGATTCTAACTTTGTTTTTTTAAGATCTCCATCCCTTTTAACTTGTAGTTGCTATCTCTTTTTTTTTTTTTTATCTTTTTTTGTTATAATATAGTAGCATGGTAGCAGCATCATGCTGTGGGTCCAGTGCTTGTAAAACAGTGAACAATAGCCTTTAAAATCCTTTAAATTTCCTTCTGACTAGGAACTTGGATACAGCAGTTTGTTCCAGCAGGAAAATGATCCCAAAAAAATATCTAAGCTAATTTTAGAGGGAATAACATTAAGGTTCTGGTTTCAATTATGAGCCAATTAAAGGTTTGTAGACTATGCTTTGAGGCCATAAAGAGGATTTATAAGGACCAAATATTTGTGTCTAAAAATGTTCCAACCTGATAAAGACAGGTTCATATGAATCAATAAAAGCCCCAAATTAAATGTAATATTAATGCAGATGATGAGTTTATATAAACATGATTGTCCCTGGCTGTTTGTCAGAAATCCTGTTGTGTGTGTGGGTCTGTGAGAATGGGACATTGTGGTAACCTCGCAGGGCGTTGCCTCACAGTCGTTCTTCACTGGCTAGCTTTACGTGCCACGTGCCAAACTAAAGCTGCCAGTTGAAGAGCTGTTGTGTGTAACAGTGACAACAAAGCTGTCCACAAAGGGGAAATGGAGACATCAGAGACTATAAAACTGATCTATGAGCCAAAGTAAAGTGATTCTAGGAGAGAAAGTTTGTGACTTTGCAAACCTGCAAGGACAAAGAAATGGGTTTTCATCTGGTTTCCAAGTATTGACCTCACTGTTTATTTCAGATACAGCAGAAAGCAGCAGTGACTCAGCTCTGTTGGTGCATCTTGATCCAAAATCAGACTTTTTTTTTTTTCCCCAGGCGTGCTGGACTACCTGTCTGCTGAGATTTCCACCTCAAAGCAGAAGAAGTTCAGCCTGGTGACATTTGTGGACACTCCTGGTTTGGTGGATGGGGACATGATTTATCCATTTGATGTCAACAGTGCCATCAGCTGGTTGGGTAAGGATTTAAGAATTCAGTTATTTCCACATTATCAGATGACCTTCAGAGACTCTAATGCATTTGTATGCTACACTACAGGAGAACAGGCGGACCTGGTATTCGTCTTCTTTGACCCGATGGGTCAGGCGCTGTGCAAACGGACGCTCAACATTGTGGAGAAGCTGAGCGAGAAGTGTGGGGACAAGCTGCTGTTTTATCTCAGCAAAGCAGATGAAGCTGGAAAAGAGACGGACAGGCAGGCAGGTTTTCATTTTTGATAGTTATTTTTATGATACATTTTAGGAACAGTACTAATAATGTTTGATATTTTCTCTTTTGTTTTATAGAGAGTAATGATGCAGATTGTTCAGGAGCTGTGCCGGCGTCCAGGCCTCAACAAATGTGGCTTTGAGATGCCAACTATATACATCCCCAACCCACAAAAGGTAAAATTCAGTCAGTTTTGCAGATTTTTATTTATTTTTTTCCATTCCTTTCTTGAGTCTCATTTCCTAGAGAGAGAACTGTTACAAAAATTAACAGCAATAAAATCACAACATTCTGGTGTCAGTATGAATTCTTAAAGAATAACACCATTCCGTCTGGACATGCTTACATCTAAGTATTCAATGATTTTACAATACTGTGGTTTCTAAAGTTCAACTCAAAATTCCTCTGTACTGTTCCTGCTGTTTCTAGTCCTGTTAAGTGCAGAATAACTGGAAAAAACAGATTAAATATTTGTTTCATAAGCACATAAAAGCTACTAATACATTTATGGAAGTATGGATCTTCTATCATCAATGGATCAGAATATTATGAGTGAAAGAAAACCTCTGAAGAGCTGGAGAGCTCTTTCTTAACCATCACTGCCCTCAGAAAACTTGATTAAATCTCTGCTCTCTATATAGAGTCATTGTTATTCTCTGAAATATTCTGTTTGTATTTTATGCATGAATATATGTGTACATCTTACACATTTTTCATATGACCCTACTTAATTGCCACCGTCTTTAATCTTACACTAATCTATACTAACTATGCAGTGGTTTTTTTCTGTATTGTAAATATGCCTTTATTTTAAACTGTCTTATTCTTATTTTATTTCTGTTTTTATTTGTTCACCTTTTTTTTTACACTGTATGTATCTGCATGCTTTCATTTGCCTTCCACTTTGCTGCTGCTAAACCCGAATTTCCCAAATGAAGAATAATATAAGATAATTCTGTTCTAATCTATTCTATTATTTAGTGGGAAGAAACCTCTCTTTGATTTAAAACAGAAACTGCATCATCTTATTCACTTTTGTTGAGTTTTTCTTTTTTTTAAACCTTTTATGCAGCATTATTATACATGCAGAATCTCTTTGTGGCCAATTTTTTCACATGTTGTAGCTGATCTGTGGAGCTGATCATGGTTTAAGGCTGAGTTTCTCATTGAGGTTTTCTTAGCTTTCTGCTTGTAGAAAAATAAGGAATTTTATGCTTATAGAAAAAATACATTTTCACACCTCAGTCTACTCCTTTTTTTGTATCTTTGTTTGTTTTAGCCGAGCAGGTGTGTGAACCAGATTGACAGTGTTTGTCAAACGATTGAGAAGACTATCAACCAGGCTGTCCAGAAGACTTTGGATCAACTTGAGAAGGACTCTGACCTCATTTGTTCAACCATCACCAACAAGCTAGAGCAGGACAGGTAAGATTCTGGGTTCTTTTCTTTCAAATAATTTAATGGTTACTTTAATAGAAACACATTTGTATGAAATGGATGCAAAGTCAGAATATTAAGTTGCAATAAATGTTGTAAATCTTCTTTTTTCCTATTTACACAGGGCCAATGTTGTTTCTAACAGAAGCGTTCGTCTTCACTCGCTTCTTTATGGGGCTTTAGGTATTTTCCTGCCCTTCCTCTTTATTCTTAGTTTCATTGTAAGCAGCTTCTCCAAGGAGCAGCTGCAGGAGCTGCTGGGCGAAGGTCCGACTCAGACCATTATGGTCTTCGCCGTGAGTCCAGCAAACCTTTAATGACCTTTAAACATAATAACTGATTAAAAAAAACATAATAAAACCTCATTTGTTCCTGTCTCCCACAGGGGGTAGTGATGTATTTATGGGAGTGGATACCGGAGGACAAACAAGTAGTTTTTGTGATCTCTTTTGGGGCCTTTTGCTACTTCCTGCTATTCCTAGCTAAATATTTTACAGGGTAAGTGTGTAAAAACATCCATTTTCCATTTTCAATAATAAACTTATGATGTAAACATAAGTACATGAGTTATTATTATTATTGCGTAAAACACATTTGTTTTATTAAACTCTTTTTAGAATCAAATCATTTATTTTAACTATTATAATTAACTATGTTTTTTTTATGAGGAAACACTAGAGATTTATATAAACCATTGAAAATATAAAAATGCTAAAACTATCAAATTTATTTTAATTGAATCCAAATAAATGACAATAGAATTACAGTTTAGAATATAAACTTCAATATTGTTAAATCCTAATTAAGCTTAGATTAAAGGATCAATAAGGAAACAAATTAATTAATTACTTATTGTAAAAAAAAATTAAAATATTAGAATATGTATGCATGTAATGAATAAGTTTCAGCATAAAAGGAGCCCTATGGACCCTAATGCACAGTCTGCTGCCCTCAGATCCTCATGAAGGTTGTCCTAAAAGAGAAAAAATTGTGTTTAAGTTAAACATGTATCCTTTATTTAGCCTGGAAAATAATATTAAGGTTAAAACTTATTTTTCAAGAGAAACCTGGCTAAGACATAAAACATACCACACATAATCCAGCAGCTCCACTAAATATATTCAAAGGTTGTGCTTCTCAGAGGACCTTTAGAAATAAAAAATAAGTCCTTTAATGACCACGTTGAACTAAGAAAAGAAAAGTTTTATTTGATTATGTTTTTTATTTTCTTACTTCAACTTCTTAACATTTATGAATTACATTTGTTGCATTTATTGCTGAAGAAAGAGTGTTACTTTTCAACAAAATAAAAAGTAAAAGATCCAGACGTCGACAAATGAAAATGGCAAGATTCTTTCTACCTCATCTCATTTAACTTATTTTTATTCGAGGTAAAATCAATTGACTTGATTATCTTTCATTATTGATTTTAGGTTTTACAGTCCTTGAACGTCTTTAATTTTAGTTGATGAAACTTGCATACATTTTTTTTAAAGCATCTAAACATTTTATTTAAAGAGGAGAAACACTATTTTAACACAGGATGCTTATCTGTTTCACTTTGGAAAAACACTGTTGAGCATTTTCAACATCAATCAAGACAAAATAGATTCCTCAACTGCTCATTTCCATGCAGTTACTCCGTTGTGAGGTTATTGTTACTGTAATTATATTTAGCTGTTCTATTTTAATCTAAACCTGATGTCAAATACAGTATAAGCATTGAATCTTCAAGGAAAGATTTTAGCACTTTTCATTTATTTTCTTGGATACTTGCATCATATTTTATTTTCTCCCTATCTGTTTTTTGGAGTTTATACTTTTATTATATGCAAATGCAGAAAATGTACTTAGTTATGCGGTGAAATGGACAAATGGTTTGTAAGGACTTTTTTTGCCTGTGTTTTTCCTTTCAATATCAAGCAGATTTCTGTATTACAAAACAAAACTGTTCTTCATGCACCATAAGTAAAGATAGAGAAAATAAGAATACTTTGAGTGTCTTTTATAAATCTTTTAACAGATTATTACAGAAAAAAGTAAAACTCTTTTAGGTTTTAATTTAAGCTACATTGATAGCATTGGAAAATAAATTAACTTCTCATAAAAACATGAATTAATTAGTTATTTCCTAGTTTTCTAAGCAAAGTCTCACAGTATGTCTTAATGTTGTGAATAAAACTAAAAATTCAAACTTTTTTACCTTAACTGGTAAAACGCTATTACATGAATAAGCACTTTTCAGCTATGATCCTAAAGGCTCTTTATGTTTCGTTCTCAGCCGAAGAAGCAAGACTCTGACAAAGAAGGAGAAGAGGAAGATGATGGAGTACAGTGATTATATCCATGATATTGTCAAAACTAAAAAGGTTAGATGGACTTCACATTCAGCTATGACAATTTTTTTTTATTAGATTATCAGATTTATTTTAGTTTCTAATTTGAAGTTAGAATTGAAATTTTTTTTATTTTTTTTATTATAAAATGTAACTTTAGGAAAATTGTAAACGTTTCTTAGAAATTCCTGAGAGTAACATTTTTTGTTACACTTATTTCTGAAAGCTACGTTACATAGTTCAGGGCCTTTTATTTGTTAAATCTGTATTTTATTTCGGGATCTTTTAGATTTTATGTTCTTCTATTCAAATGGGGCAAAGTTCTTCTTTGGGATGAGTCTGATCAGAGTGCACCATATCATATGATTTACTGAAGAGTCAAGAAGGTGCAGCAATGGCAATAAAACAGCAGCAAAATGTCCTCTTTAGGTGAGAGTGTAGCTTTGTAAACGGGAAATATGGAAAACCTATAAATAAATAGTGAAGCTACCTTAAAATTATTTGAAATGTATGAGACAATAGAAAATGAAATGTTGAGACAATATTTTAACATTTGCATTAGTGAAAAAACTTTGGTGAGACTGATCAGGTAGTTAATCATAACATCTAATTTTCTATCAGCAATATCAAAGTCTAACTTAATATTGTCTGGATCTTTATCTTCTGCTCTGTTTTTTTTTATTATTAATTTCTACTTAACTATAACTCTTGAGCAACTCCAGCAGTCGATTCATAGTAACAGACGTGTGTCAAAGGCCACTCACCTAGCAACCCAACCATAGCTCCGCCCACTTTATTTTAGAAGACGAGCTGGTTTTACTGCTATAAGCGCGGTACAATGACTGCTGGGAAAGAGTCTCTTTCAGGTTTGTTCCCGCACAGCTATTGCAACTCTTGGTCAAGGTCAGGTCAGGTCTCTTTAGTTTTGCTCTCAGTTTATTGAAACTTCTTTGAACCTCCACATGTCACATTACTGTGCAAGGAAAACGAAAAACCAGAATAGGATGTTTTTGTCAGTTTAGGGGAGAGAAAAGATTTCAATTCCATCTTTAGGTTTTTGAATAAAGAACAACATAAAGGCTTTGCGAAAAGAAAAGGGAAAACTTCAATTTTTGAGATGATGATATTGCAGGAAAAAATCATTTCAAAAAGCATTTTTTAGTTTAATGACAAGAAGAAAAATAAATAAATAATGGTAGAACTTCCGTTTTTTTTTCTGTTGTTTTATTCTTTTCTGCTGTGGAAATCCAGTAAAATTATTCCATAGAAAAGCAGATAAATGGATTAAACTTGCATTTGTTGTTATATCTTTAAGAAAATCAGGGGGCTCTTTATCATTTTTGCTACAGTAGCTACAGCTACTCGCCACTCTGGAGTCGAAGGTTGCAGAGCTCTGGTCTAGATCAATCATGCCCCTGTTGCCTTTACAAATAGTCCAGAACGTTGCAACTCACCTTATTAAGTAAACATGAGCAAATAACTCTGATCATAAAATTCCATCACTGGCATTCTTTCTGTCACTGCTTTTATGATTCATTGCTTTTATGAATCTATTTCCAAAATGTTATGTTTTAAATGGCCTTACCCGATTTCCTGAACGGTAATATATCACCAAGAGCAGTCTGGACTAGCCAGTGTCCCCTGCATTTTTTAAGATAAAGGATAAAATGTAGAGGAGATCCAACATTCCCCCAGGGGGTTCAACAGTGCAGAAAACCTTACTTTAAAATAATTTAAGACCTGCTCAGATCATACAATCATGTAAAAACTCATATGTTTTATTTGACCTTTAATTGAATGAACATTAAACAGAAAATTATTTAAGTCTTTACTCACCCAGCTTTTATTTATGACAGTGATAAAATGATAAAAATGTTCATATTTTTAATAAAAATATTTCAGGTCTTTCTTTTTTAGGCAAACCACCTGGCCTGTACTCTGTTGTACCACCTTCTCTTCATTTCATCTTAGTTTTTTGATTGAGAAGTTTTTAATGTTGACTTTGACTTTCCCTGTGTGGTTTTACTTCACAGGCTAAGCTTTATGAGTGGTACCTGCAGCAGTGTGCAGCGGAACAGGACCTCTAACATCTCAGCGGTGCTGCCTTTTTTCTTTGTTTGCAAAAAGCCACTCCTCCTTTCATGTGGAACCTGCAATCGATCACATGTCTTTTCTACCTTCTGTCTCAGCAGGCAAAGCGAATAAGTGCCTTGTTTTTACTGTGGCACAGAACAAGCTGTGATTTTAGCCCTTGGAAAAAAAAAAGTATTTTACTTATTGAGAAGAAATATTGCTGTATGTTCATGTTTTCTTATATAAATGCACCCAGTGCTTAAAAGATCAAATGTTTACAAAAAGACATTTCACCACGTTGGCTAACCAGCATATACTTAAACCATTTTGTCCCTAACAGTGTCTAACAATGTCCCAAAACCCTTACAGAACCACCCTGACTGACAAGTTACCTGAATGTGTTTTTCATGCATATAGCTATACAGCTGCAATAATCTGCACAATGATTAAGCCTGGGCATTAGAAATAAATGTGAAGGAGACACAAGCCTGCAAACACTGTCCATCATCTAGGGAAATTATTTTTATATAGTTTTATACATACCGTCGTGCGAGCTATACTGCCACCGCACTGATGTGTAGCTTCAAGCGGAGCTACAGCACTGATCTGATATTAGCTCTGTTTAATGAATTCACTCTAGTTTTTGATTCATAAATAGTTATTAGGGACTCCAGCTGGGGTGCTTTTACTCTAAGGGGTGCTTTAACCCAGACCAGCATACCTCATTAAATGTCAGCAATTTGAAGTTACTCATTTAATTTTCTGCAGACTTGCTTTCACCCAATTATAACAGGCCAACATGGAGCTAATGGGTACAGATGATCAAATGTAAAATTATTTTTTTAAATAAACGATAAAAATAATTTATATCTAAATTAAGATATATATTTTTTAGATAATTTCTGAATTAAATCAGTCATTCTGTTAATTCTGTCATGTCAGATAATTTGCAGTTAAGTTTTGCAGGAATTCAAGTGTGCTAAAGTTTCAGATTTATGGAGCCAAAGCTGGATGTTTTTCTAAAGTTCCTCAATTTATGAAATTTAAAGTACGGTAAGAGGAAAAAATCAGTTTGATCCTACTTTATACAGACTCGGAGACGTGAACACGTCAGGTCATGATTTAACAATTCTGCTTATAAGCATCTTCATTATAGAAACTTTAGTCTAATAGCATTTTTGTGAACTGCAGAAAGATAGATCAATGTTTTACAAAATCCTTATTAAACTATCCTGTCCCATGCAAACGGCCAAATGAAATAAATTACAATATCATTAAAAATGTCATTTATTTTACAGACCCAAATTACTAAATGAAACAGATAACATTAATTACAAACAGTTTGTTAAGCCATTTATTTTTGTAAATTATGGTGAATTTTCCATTTGTTGCCAATGAGAACGTGATATTTCATTAGAATATTCAGAACGATCAAAAATCATGTTTATTATAGAAATTAAAGGTTTATTATGTTTAATGCCTTTAGATATACAAGTGGAGAAGCAGAACAAATATTTTTCTCTTGCCATTACTCATTAAAGTTATTTATTCTAGTACTGTAAATTGTTTACAAAGCATTTTCTTGATTATGTTTTATAAAAAGAGGTTAAAATAATACAGGTGATTGTGTTAAGAGCTTTGGATCGGTGCATCTTTACTCCAAAAATAATACAAAACTTCCTCTTTGGGCTGTTTGCAAGATAATTGTAAACATGTTTTAGTTTGTTTGGTGTGTTAGAATCCTCTCAGGTTTTATAATGGGATCTTTTTAACCTCTCATTTATCAGTTTAGTCAAACTTATTTCATCATCTCTGTAGCATGTTTGAAATATTTCTTATTGTGCAAAACCTGGAATTAACTGACTGTTTTTTCTAAACTGTTTGTTAATAACAATGAGTGTGTTTTGTCCAATAAATCTAAAGCAAGTTGTTGTTCTTCCTTCAAAATAAAATTTTTTTACAGACTTGTACTTTACAGCCTCTTGAATATCATTGATCAACTAAGATTGAAGATTGTTAATTTTACCTCTAGGCACCAACATTTTATCTGACTGTTCCTAGTTCAGACTGATGTACTAAATCAAAGCTAGTCAGTCTAATATTTGCTTTTTCAGAATGACTGCATATAAATGTAAGTCAAGGCAAGTACATATAAAGCATATTTGAATTATTGAACAAGTCAACGCAAAGTGCATAAAAACAATAGAAAAAGGCACAAAGAAAAGTGGCATAGAGATAATGAATATGAATAATTAAAGAGAATAAAAATGAATTATTTGATAATAAAACTGCGTTTTGACAAACTAACTGATAATGTTTAGGTAGCAAAATCAAAGGCCACTCTTATCCCAATCTGAAGCAGCTGGTGAAGATTCATCCAGGTCATAGTCATTCTAAAAAATTTAAAAAAGCAATCAACTGGACTTGGTTTCCAAGTTTGAAGATGTTTCACTTCCCATCCAGGAAGCTTTTTCCAAATCAAAATGTCAAAATTAGAGTTTAGTTCCAAGCTTTATATAGTAGCCTAAAAACTTGTTTTGTCTTAGAAAACATGCAAATTAAACCAGAAGAACGGGTCAACCCCTTAGGAATGGGGAGTGGTTTTGGGTTCTTTGTTAGCCTGCAATATCCGAAAATAACAATTTCTGATGGTTACCACTGAATTTATTTTGTACATCTCTCATGACATTTCCATTTTATTAAAGTGCAGCAGTGGGCAAATGTAAACATAGTGGGAGGGAAAAAAACATGCAAAAAAACGCATTGATATGGTCAGTTTGATACAGAGTCTGTGACACGATTTAGAGTTTTCTCAACAGTTCAGCTCTCTGATGGCAGTGGGGAAGAAGTTGTTTCAGAATCTGCTTGACATGCATTGAATGCTTCGAAGCCTCTTCCCAGGGGCAGCAGGGAGAACAGTCCATGTCCAGGGTGTGAGGGGTCATTGATGATGTTACAGCCTTGGGACACGCAGTGCTGTGATGAAATATCTTTAATGGAGAGAAGAGGAGCCCCGATGATCTTCTCTGTAGTTCTCACTACTCTTCTCACTCTACTCTTCTCACCTACTTCCAATCTGTGGTGCTGCAGCCTCCACACCACACAGCTGGTCAGAACGCTCTCTATGGTGCTTCTGTAGAAGGTGGTGAGGATGGGTGGGGGCAGGTGGGCTCTCCTCATCCTTCGCAGGAATTACATGAGTTTTGTGCCCTTTTGACCAGTGAGATGGTCTTTACATTCTAGGAGAGGGTGTCTGTGATGTGCACCACCAGAAATAGGAGAAGGTTGATTAAGAGGTAAATGTATTAATTTGAAGGAGACAGATCAGGGATTGATGGTTCACTGTGCCTTTGGAAGATGCTGGTGTAAAAGCAGTCTTGGCAATAAAATGGTTGTATGGAGAAGATGTATGAGTTACTATTTGTCCAATCTTAAATACCTCTTTTAAATTGCAAGTGAAATCTAGTAGAGCAGGGCTGAATGGATATAGATAGGAGAGTGTTAGGAGTGAAGGTTTAGGGTTATCTCTTAGGGTAACATAGGAATCCTCTTTTTGTCTTGCGCTATTTGGTGGGGAAAAGAGCTTTGATAAGGTTGAAGTCATTTTTCTGGCTATCTTTCTCTTGGCTGGAATGGGCTGCACTGGGCTAATCATTATTTTTTACTTTCTTGCTGTGTTCTATTCAAGGGCAGTGATGCTGTTGGAAAAATCACAGAAAAAACAATTAGATTTAAAAAGTTTTTGCTCAAGCCCGTTTTTACAAAAGATGCCTTTCACACAGAAAATATAATAGTTATCGATGAAGGTCACATTTTTGTTTCAAAATTTATTGATCTTCAGAAATAATGCAAACATTTTGTTTCCACAGTAAACAGGCTCAAAAGGCCTGCTGAGAAAAACCTTGATATAATAAGACTTTCATCTTTATTAAGCAGAGAAATTAAATCTTCTAACACTTCCAATTTATTCTTCTCAACATCAGTACCTGTTTTGTGATTGAGATAATATTTTTTCTGAGATATAAGACAGTGTGTTATCAAAAAAAAAAACTGTTTTTCTTGTTGCATATATTTACAATCCAATTTGTGGCTTGTTTGCCAACTATCAGGGTTTTTGGCATCTGATCCTGTTTTGATACTTTAAAAGAAGACAGTTTAGATTGTTTTTGTAGCATCTATTGTTATCAGATGATAATTTTCCTGATTTTAATGTTTGAGTGGGACAAATCTATTTTATAGAAGAATGTCAGAAATTACAGCTGATCCCGTCTTCCATTTTCTTAAAAATACCCTTTTTATCAATTAAAAGACCCTAAAATACCAAGGATGTTAAATTTAGAGACATATCATTCTCCATTAATGATCATAATTAATCATTAATCCATACATTTCTCCACAGTGAGATCAATAAAGTCAATCAATCAATCTAGTTTTTCCTACTCATAGTATTATATATAATCTAATATTTTATTTAAACTACTCTTGCAGCTAGTCTTCTTGAATGGCCTGGCTTGATTAAAGACACATACACTCACCGGCCACTTTATTAGGTACCCCATGCTAGTAACGGGTTGGACCCCCTTTTGCCTTCAGAACTGCCTCAATTCTTCGTGGCATAGATTCAACAAGGTGCTGGAAGCATTCCTCAGGGAGTTTGGTCATATTGACATGATGGCATCACACAGTTGCCGCAGATTTGTCGGCTGCACATCCATGATGCGAATCTCCCGTTCCACCACATCCCAAAGATGCTCTATTGGATTGAGATCTGGTGACTGTGGAGGCCATTTGAGTACAGTGAACTCATTGTCATGTTCAAGAAACCAGTCTGAGATGATTCCAGCTTTATGACATGGCGCATTATCCTGCTGAAAGTAGCCATCAGAAGTTGGGTACATTGTGGTCATAAAGGGATGGACATGGTCAGCAACAATACTCAGGTAGGCTGTGGCGTTGCAACGATGCTCAATTGCTCAATGCTCAAAAGTACCAAGGGGCCCAAAGAGTGCCAAGAAAATATTCCCCACACCATGACACCACCACCACCAGCCTGAACCGTTGATACAAGGCAGGATGGATCCATGCTTTCATGTTGTAGACGCCAAATTCTGACCCTACCATCCGAATGTCGCAGCAGAAATCGAGACTCATCAGACCAGGCAACGTTTTTCCAATCTTCTATTGTCCAATTTCGATGAGCTTGTGCAAATTGTAGCCTCAGTTTCCTGTTCTTAGCTGAAAGGAGTGGCACCCGGTGTGGTCTTCTGCTGCTGTAGCCCATCTGCCTCAAAGTTCGACGTACTGTGCGTTCAGAGATGCTCTTCTGCCCACCTTGGTTGTAACGGGTGGTTATTTGAGTCACTGTTGCCCTTCTATCAGCTCGAACCAGTCTGGCCATTCTCCTTTGACCTCTGGCATCAACAAGGCATTTCCGCCCACAGAACTGCCGCTCACTGGATGTTTTTTCTTTTTCGGACCATTCTCTGTAAACCCTAGAGATGGTTGTGCGTGAAAATCCCAGTAGATCAGCAGTTTCTGAAATACTCAGACCAGCCCTTCTGGCACCTATAATCATGCCACGTTCAAAGTCACTCAAATCACCTTTCTTCCCCATACTGATGCTCGGTTTGAACTGCAGGAGATTGTCTTGACCATGTCTACATGCCTAAATGCACTGAGTTGCCGCCATGTGATTGGCTGCTTAGAAATTAAGTGTTAACAAGCAGTTGGACAGGTGTACCTAATAAAGTGGCCGGTGAGTGTATGCCTGTAGCTCTGCCAGGGAAGACCAAGCAGCACATGTAGGGACAGTGGTTACAGAAATCACAAACACATAAGAACAAACAGGAAATGTTTTTCTTGCCTTATTTCCATTATTTTGACATAAATGAAAACATGAGCTACAGCCTTGTAACTGCTTACTTCACTCACTTCTCTGCTAACATTATCTTAAGTTTTTTTTTAAACTTTAAGTCCAGTTTGAGGCTTTTACACCATTAGGGAGGCAGCAGCCTACTTTAAAACTTATTTTATGTAAACGCTTGTCAAAGTCCTCTATTGGGAAGGGAAGCATCTTTTGCAAAAAATAACAAAAAAAAAAACAACAACAAAAAATCAAGTAATCTTATAACTACTTCTTAAAAAGCTGCCTTACACCCAATTTTATATATTATCGTTCTGAGCTCAGTTCAGACCGGTTGACTCTTATGAAATGTATATCATGCAAAGGTTTTGACAGTTTTCTGGACTTTTACATTGTGTCACACAAACGCAAAACCTAATGGGATCCATGTCGTACAGCCCAATTGAGATGCAGAGTCTAGTGTTCCTTCTTTACTTTGATACCCTTAAATAAAGTTACATGCATCAAGTTGCATTTAGAGCTCACCTGACATGGCAACTATTCATAGCAGATAAAGGTGAGTAGAGTACCCAAAAAATTGTACTCAAGGAGTAGCACTATTTTAAGTAATCAAAAATACTTGAGAAAAAGGCTACTTGTATACCGAATAACTGAGTAACTAGCATAAATTTTTTTTTCACAAAATGTTATTTGATACACTGCACTACAAAGAAACTTCTATAAGTCATTTTCTCTTAAAATAAGTGCCTTTTACTTGAATTGAGGAGGTAACTGAGACACTTTGCAAATTGAACAAGACAATTTAAATATAAAATAATAATAAAAAAACTATTGCATTGTCTTATTTCAAGTGTATATTATCTAATTATCGTATTTTAAGAGTGAAAATACTCATTCATTGGCAAGTCCAATGATAAATTTGTTTTTTTTAGAGAACTACATAAAAAATAGAACAAATAAATAACTTAGTTGAAAAATAACAAAGGCTCAGAGGATTGAAAATTAAGACACAGATGCTTGTGCATAGAAAAAGTTACTCTCATTTAATGAAGAAACCCTCAGTTAGCGGAACAACTAGAATTTCTTCTTA